ACAATGCTAATATGGAACGTGGGCCCGCTGTTTGTCCTTTCATCATTTCTTTACACTTATTCTTATTAACTGATAGCACTACGAGCATGTCATGTGAACTTTGCCAAGCGTAGTTTTTTTTTTTTTTTTTTTTTTTTTTTTTGTTTTATTTCTCTCTTACGAGTGTTCCACTAGGTGTTATCTTTATTTGAGGTCACCCACATCGTGTGTACGCACAAGCGAGAAGTATAATCATAACAGAGGTCGACCTGATCGCCCTTAGACATTCATCCTCCGGCTGATATACTTCTTGCTCTTTTTCATTGGACCGCCCCCCCCTTGGGTAAGTACCTTTCGAAAGAGACAAGTGTGTGGTGCGGCGCAGGGGATGCAGAGAGAGAGAAGAACAAATGGAGGTGTACAGGACGGACTGGGAAGATAGACAGCGTCATTTGGAGAGCATAATAAAAAAGGAGTTTTATAACAAGCATGATGATATAAAAGGGTGTGAGCACAATGTTGGTGGTTTCATTTCGAGGAATAAGTTCAATCTGGAAGAACCTTGTAAATGCTACAACTGTGAATATGTTATATTGGTTGTAACAGAATATGTGCAGAAGGAGTGTGTGCTAGATCGACATGTTTTGGCTTACAATAAGTTGCTTGAAAATGTAGAGTCTTATGTTGACCAAATTGGGAGTAAATCTGACATTGACCATATTGTTCATAATAATTTTCTCTCCAATGATGATCCTCCACATGGTATTAGTAATGGAAATAAAAAATGTGAGCCTTGCGCAACGTGTGTGGCGGAGGACTGCCAGGACATCGAGATGGAAACTTACACCATTTCGACCATCATGAAGGTACGCACCAAAATTTTGAACGCCCTGCCCATGTTAAAAGGGGTTTTAAAAAAAGTGCCCTATGATGAGCACAGTTATTATTATGTAAGCAGCAGGGTTGGCATTATCGAGAGGGTGAAAAGTAAGATACACCGTTATGTCATGCAGAGGGGGAATAGCGGCAGTTACGGTGCGATAAGCCGTCGCGACTGTGTGCGCTTGCAGGACTCCTCCCACAATGGTGAGGAGCAGTTTGATGGTGTCCATCACCTCGATCGTTACGACAGCTACGACCGTTACGACAACGACACGGAGCAACCTCAGCACGAGGGTGAGGCGTGGCCCTGTCCTGAACGGAGCGGCACAACCAACAATACGCAGCCGCGCGGAGGAACAGACAACACGCACGCAGAGTGTTCAACCAGACGCAGAAAAGTAGCACCGGTAAAATTTTACGAAATAATTATAACGACGAATCAAAATTTGATAAGTCTGAGGAGCATCCAGCTCCTGATCGAAATGATTAGCTTGTTTCACAACTACTTAATGAAATTCGTATTGGAAAAAAAAAAAAATGAAAAGATAAACTTCATGCAACGTTATGAGCTGAAGAAGACGGAGTACACATTTTGTGACGAATCGAATTACCTCCTATTTTATAACTTGTCTTTGGGAAAATTCAAAAAGGACAAGAAAAAAAAAAAAAGGGGGGAAATTGGCTTGCAGGAAGGGAAACAGGTTGGGGTAGAGAAATGCCAAAGAGGAGATCACAATGAGGGGAGGTCGTATACCTCTGACAATAGCACAAGTATTGATTGCGAAAGTGAGGGAAGCGGTTTGAATGAGGAGGTGCGCACTAAGATGGGGGTAAGGACCCCCACTAGGAGTTATGCAGATCTGGGCAGCTGTTACGACAACGGGGATAGTGTCTATACGAAGCGAGTCGGCGACTACACGCAGAGGAGTGATGATTTTGTTTTGCGAGACGGAGAGGATGAAACTCATGGTCCATATTACACCAATCGGGTGAGGGATAGTAGTGGTGGTGTAGTGGAATGGGGCACACATGATGAGGAGTGTCGTCGTCAGGGGGAGTATTACGGCTATGAGGATGCGGGTTATGTCCATCAGGATGGGGACTACGTCGATCGTATCGATGAGGCGGACTGTCCCCCCCCCGTGCAAGACGTTCAAGAATGTAGCAGCACCCTTGGTGAGAAACAAACGGAAGAAATGAAAAGTTATATAAAGCACATATTGTCGTGTATCGTGGGAGAGGGAGACACATACCTCATTATCGAACTGCTATTCACCCTGCACACTTTCCAACTGAATTATTTTTTTAATATATTAAAGAAAATGATATTGTCCAAGGAGGTCCCAAATGAATTCCTCGTAATGCTAACCTACTGCGGGTATAAAATTGAAAATATTGAAATTATCGAATACTGCTTTTGGAAGTTAGTACGCATATTTGAACGTGATGAGTTGCCAGAGTGTTGGAGCGTAGTGGACGATAAGGCGGACAGTCAGTTAAAGAAAAAATACAACGAAATGAAAGATAATTTAAGGGTGATAAAACAGAGTATTGGAGAAACGGATGCGGAGATGAGTAAGAAGCAGAGTTGTCTTTCCCAGGGAAGCTGCCTCCCCGTTGATGGTTGCGCAAACTACGATGGGCACTACGATGGAGTCTTTTACGAAGCGCTAAACATTTTCAAGCCGCATAACCAATACAACATGATTAATAACATCACGGAGGTAGACATGAACAAAGGGAATTTACACTTTAACAAAAATTTAATCGATAAGAAAATTTTCTCCCCATTTATTGCAAAAACGAAAAAAGAATTTCATTACTACAACAACATTCCAAAGGGATATGTCATAAACGAAATACAGAGGCTGCGAAATTTTAGCGATCACTACTCCTGTTGCTACATTTTAAAAAGCAATCAGAAGAAAAAAATGTTGATGGGGTTTAAGAAAAAAGGAGAAAATAAAGTATACCTGTACAAATACGATAAGAATATTAAAAAGAATTACAAAGTGGGGGGGAAAAATAGCCCTTTTTTTAACATTTCCGGTTTTTTAGGAATTTTAATTTGTAATTTTACAGGCATGAATATTAAAATATATGACAATGGCATAAAGGAAAAATATGCCAATTTCTTTCCTTCGTTTGAAAGAAAAAATATAATTTCGATAAGTTTTGAATCAAATATAATAAGCGAATTGCCCAGACATTTTATGTGTACTATTTACAAGCCTAATAAAGACGTTAAAATTATTTATGAAAATAAATGTCCAGTTTGGAATGATGACAAGGAGATTTACGAGTTGCCTTTTTATGGCCGAGTTAAATTAGCAAGTGCAAAAAATTTGCAATTAATTTTAAAAAAATGTGTAGTTTCGAACTCGCTCAAGGGTTCCTTTGTAGGAAAAACCATAAACGATGTTATTGAGTATGTCAGTGGTGACACTTTCGAGGGGGACTCCCAATTGGCTAGCACATGTGCTGGACGAGGAAAGGATGGTCGCCCTCCACACTCTCCGTATGAAGACGGATGCAGCGGGGAGGGGGACGCAAAAAAACACGTCCTAAGGAAAAAGTTCCCCTTTGATGTGATCACAAATAATTTTAAAAAAAAAGAAGAAGAGGAAAATTTTGAAATTGTGAACAACGATGAAGAGGAAATATTTTTAATTTTTGGGAAAAACTCAAAGGATTACTTTACGCTTGATTTTCGCCACCCCTTGTCTTCCTTCGAGGCCTTTTCCATCGCCATTTCGTCTTTGCTGAAGAAGAAGGCCGTTTCGTAGGCCCCCTAATTTGGCCTCCACTCTGTTTGAACTCCCCTTCGAAACTACCCCTTGTTTTTGTGTCTATCGCAGTTGTGTTTGATTTGTGCCTCGTGTGTGTTGCACGTTGTGCGAACTAGCTTTTCCTTACTGTGTCTTTTTTTTTATATATGTTTTTTTTTGTGGATTCTCCCGCCCTCTTAACGTATTCCATTGTGCTGTTACGACATCTTTTGCCAATGGCAAAACGGTTTGTAAGACAAAAGAAAAATTAAGAGGCTGTTTTTTTTTTAGCGAATAGTGTGTTTTATGGGATATGCAGATCGGTTTTTAATGGCCGTCTCATCCCTCAGGAATATGCAAACGGTTACAATTACGATTATTCGACTTGCGACGAATATGAAAAGGTCTAGGTGGTGATGGGAATAAATTTACACATGCTTCCCATCTACATGCAGAGCTTTCCATTAGACGAAAAAAATTTTTCGTTGCGTCCATCCGGAAAAAGGTTGTGCAAGGGCAGGTGTCTATACGCGTGGGAAGCGACACGTAGCAAATCACTTCACACAGTTATATCTGCATATGGGGGGGGGTGAGGAAAAAATCAATTCTTATTTTTTTCCTGCACGAATGCCCAATCCACGTGAATTTCCTGATTGAGCAACATTGTGCCGTCCATTTCTGGAAAAAAAAAAAAAAAAAAAAAAAAGAGTTTACGTATAACCATATTGCAGTAGAGGTTTATGAGAACAATACGTGGACACAATTTCAGCGCGTAACACTACAAACAGTGGTGAAATGAGTTATGTCCAATGAGGCATTGCCATACGTTGTGCGCGTTGTTGTGAACAATATGCTTACCATCAATGGCCCTTTTCGCATCCACAAAATTTTCAAATTCAAGAAATGCATAGCCTTTTATAAAACCCGTCCGTCTGTCCAAGTTTAAATGCAAATTCTTTATCTGTCCATATTTTTCAAAAACTTCTTTTATGTAGTCGTCCCTTGCTTCTCCGTGGATGTTCGTGATTATGATAATCCACCCTTCAATGGCTGCCGTGAAAAGAAAAAAAATACGCCCATTACGTATGTGCTGCACGTACATATGGTCTTTAATTCCACTCGCCACAGGAACAAAAAGTCTGAATAGTGAACTCATTCCAAATTGATGCAAACTCGTAAATCCCACAACGGCATCGATCTACGAGCACGTGTGTAATTATCTCTCCTTTTCTCTTGCTTACACTTTGCGGGAACGTCGTCCTTTTTAAAAACATTTAAATCACCTTCTTCATTCATTTTTTTTTTTGTTTTTTTTTTTTGCTGACCTGTTCATGCACTGTTACATTAACTGAAAATGTTAAGAAAAAAAAAAAAAAAAAGAGGACGTCATTAAATGAAAAAACAAGAATGGGGAATACTGTCCTATGTACGTGTATTTTCTATGCGAATGACACGCCTTTACGTTGCACGCTCCTTCAATTTAATTTGCGACTCAAAGCATCACACGAGAAGGATGTTTACTCCTATGGAAACAACGTCATCCGGGGGTTAACGTGTGCATAAATAGATGACAGTGTCCCCAGGCGAGTTCGAAGTGGTTGGTAGTGCAGCAGCCAGGCAACTTCCCATGAACGTACGAACGGACGTAACGTGTGTGATGCACATCCTTTATGCACGTTTTGGACTGACACGCAGAACAGAGGCGTAATTTCGTCGTTACCACGTTCGCTTTTAATCACACAAAAACGGAATGAAACATTCACCATGCGAATGTTCCCGTTTAGTTCACTTACCTAGCTTTGCCGCTATTTGCCTTGCCCCTATTCATCCATGAGATGGCTAGTAATTTTTTGTCAACTGTAATTGTGCTCGTTTCAACTCTCTTAATAGCCCTGCTATTCAAGAAGCCCGTGCAAGTTGGAAGAACCTTCGTTTGGAATAACTGCATCGTTTTTTCCTTATCTATCAGTACAAAAAAGCTTAGTATTAATGAAATCGTCCTGGATATAAAATATAAAAAAAATGCGCTACGCGTGCATTTGAACGACGTAAAATTTGTTTTTGCAAAATGGTCCATTGGGTGCCAAGTAGGGAATTTTTTTTCTGCACGGTTCATGTGAAAATGGAAAAAAAGAGCAGAGAGAGAGAAAAAAAAAAGGCCGTTTTTTTTTTTTTTTTCGGACCCCTCCAAAAAGGGAAAGAAAAGTAGTGGGGGTGTAACTAATAGAGGGAAGAAGCTTCTTTTTTGTGTGACCAAATTATTTCTCCTCGTATTGAGATTAATAGATGTTTACATAAAAAGGTGCCATTTGCTCGTGCAAGAAAGTATGCAACAGAATGGGCAGCAATGTGCTGATCAAAATGAGACCACGGTGAACGAGAAGCTGGATAACCACGGAGACACAAAAGATGGTGCCACGACGCAAGGGAGGAAAATGAACACTGTCACGGCAGCCATCGACGTAGTTCTGTCAAATGTGTACTTAACGAAAAATAGAGGCAATTTGATCCTTTTTCGACGTGGAGAAAACTTTCATTTTGTGCAACGACGGCTCGGAGTGCACAATTTCGTCTGGGAGTTTCCGGACATGCTACTATCACCAGCAGAGGAGTGTTTCCGTGGAGGGGTATTCATGCTGTACATTTATTTTTATTTAAACTGTTTGTACGAATTGTGTTTTTTTTTTTTCAAGCAATAGTGTGTATTATGAGAGGGGGGACATTTTTTCCCGAAACGCATTTTGTCCAAAAATTAAGGATACATCTGTACGACATGAACATGCGCATCGATAGGAGTATCATGAAGGACTTCTCCCTACTGAAGCATTTTTTGGCAAAGAAACGAAAGGAAAAAAAAAATAGCAAAATGGCTAGTTGTATATACCCGTGTATAACTCCCTGTTTTGCTGACGTGTTCAGGCAAATGTGTCGTCTTTTCATTGGCTAGTTAGCATTATTCACTCGTTTTGAAAGAAAAAAAAAAAGATTGCAAATTATGACTTTTTTTTTATGCACAATTCAGAATGTGAAGTTCAACATAAATCAGTTCAGGGCAGAAAAAAAAAAAAAATGACCTTTTGAAGAAGACATTGAAGAAGCACAAAAGGCACATTTTTAAAAGTGTAATAAAACAAATAGTGGAAAAAAACGCAAAAAAAGGAAAAAAAAAAAAAAAAAAGAAATAAACACGAAAAAACAAAATACAAAAGGCAAAGGCAAACATGCACGCGTGGAAGACATTCACTTCCTGACCAATGTTTACAGGTAGGAGGGGCCCTAAGTTACGCGAAAATATTTGGACTTCCTAAAATGGGGGAAAACAAACTCGCGCCGAGCCAATGACATGACTGCGGAAAAGTAGGGGTGGAATCCACGTCGCATATTTTTACTTTTTGTTTTTTTTGAGAAAATTCAAAACGTCCTTTTGTATTGATTCCTGCAGAGGGGGTGAGGTGCGGCGAGTGAATGAGGTGAAAGTTGGTAAGCGCGTGTGCAAATGCAATGATACACGAGGTAACATACAAGTGGACTACACAGTAGAGTGTAGACCTATGCGCGCGAGGGATATCACATGTTTTATTTTATTATTATTTTTTTTTCATTTTCTTACAATTTCATCATCCTTTTTGGTTGTAGATTTTTTCCCGGCCTTTTTGATTAATTTCTTGCTCGTCTTTTTTTTTGTATTTTCTTTTTTTTCCCCGGATTGGAAGGCGCCTTTCTTTTTTTTGCTCGGCTCCTTGGAATGGGCACCCTGGTTCAGATGCTTTTCCTTCAACTTTGACTTTTTCTTCGTTGCGCTGATTTTGTGTGCGCCATTCGTTTGGGCGTTGTTTTTTTCCTGCCCAGTTGTCACATTCGCCTGTTGCACATGGATTGACGATGTGTTTTTAATTACATGAGCGATATTTGTGTTTTCGTTTTGCATTCTTAGAAGGCGTCTTTTTTCCCGTTGCCTTTTTCCCCTGCTTTGTTTGTTTTTCTTTTTTTTAATAGTCTTTTTGATGAGCGAGTTCGTTGCCGCTCCATTTTTTTCCCTTATGTAATTTAAAAATTTTTCTTCTTTTAATTTTTTGATATGCACCATTCGTATGTCTTCAATGCAGTAATCGACATACATGATGTTTTTATTTTTTCGAATGGTTTGAAACTTTTTTTTGTAGATTATTTCGTTAATGAGTTCGTAAATATTCCTATTTTGGAGAAAGTGAATTATTTGCTTGGCATGTTCATGTTTGTTAATATCGATGAAGCATATCAAATTTTGTCCATTTTTGTTACTACCTTTTTTATCTTTTAATTTTTTATTTTTTTCCTCATTTTGCGTTGGTTCTTTTTGCTTTGTGTGATCTTTCATAATTTTCATTTTCTTAATAATTTCATTGGCTTTTTTGAAAGCTTCTTTTTTTTTTAAATTGTGCTTTTTCATAAATAGGGGTGTGAAATATTTCGTTATGAGTTGCCTGAACAAATTTTGTTCCAAGGATGCAGGATAATTGCGAACGTAAATTCTGCACGGGTTTATCAGGAAGTTTTTATTTTTTAAGAGCTGCTTTTTTTTTTCCATTAAGTCGTTGTTTCTTTTGATTATGTTTTCTCCCAGGTGATCATTGTTTACGTCATTGTCCTGTACCAGGTGGATGTTATTGTTAAGTCTGTCTTTGTGTTTTTTTTTTTTTTTTCCTCTATAGGAATTTTTTTTTTATCTTTTATGGATTCCTTACTGACCGCCCTTTTGATCATTAAATAATTATTTTTAAAAAATAAAATTTCGGCATTTTTTCCACTGTTATTATCTTTAAGTAGAATCTGTTTCATTCTTTCCTTTTTTTTCTTTTTCGTGTTGTAGAATTTGTCAATTACGTTTTCATTTTCCCCTTCGTTTTGGTCTTCTTCATCCTCCTCCCCCTCGTCGTACTCCCCAATTTTTTTCAAAAATGTGTCTGCATCGTTTTTGTATTTCAGCTTCACAAACGCGGAAATTTTTTTGCCGTTGTTTCTGCATGTTCTTATGTAGACATAGTTTTTGCTGATGTTCTTGTCGACGTAGCTCTGCACTTCTTCGTCGGTGGTCCCCATTGGAATGTTTGTGATGAACAGCGTTTTTCCTTCCTCTACGTCGTTCGTGCGTTCTCGGGTTCGCTCACCCTGTCGCTCTCCATCGTTTGTTTCTTCATCGCTGCTTTTCTCCCCATCGTTTGTTTCCTCGTCGCTGCTTTTCTCCCCATCGTTTGTTTCCTCGTCGCTGCTTCTCTCCCCATCGTTTGTTTCCTCGTCGCTGCTTCTCTCCCCATCGTTCGTTTCTTCATCGCTTTGCTCTTCATCTTCCGTCTCTTCGTTGCTCCTATCCCCATCATCCTCTTTGTCTGCCCCTCCGTTGCCTCCTTCTTGGTGAGTTTTCTCCCCAGCACCGGGCTGCTGCACGCCGAGCAGTTTGAGGAGCCGTGGATTTCTGTCCTCCTCTATGGTGATGGTGCTTCCGCAGACCTTGGACTTGTTCAGCAGAAGCGCCTTCTTCACGTTTTGGTAGCTGGAGAAGGTAACGAGGGCGTAGCCCTGCTTTTTATTATCTTTCTTGGGAAAATAAATCACTGGATCCTTTTCTATATGTTTGAAAAGCTTTTGTAAATTTTCCACATGGCATGTCCGTTTAATATTTTTTACGATGACTCTCCTGTTGTTTTTATTGAAGTAGGATAGTTCATGAAAAAAAAGGACATTATTTTTTTTTTTTTTTTCCCCATTTTTAACATTATCTTCGAGGAAATTTAAAAAATTCTTTTTGTTAATAAATGTGTAGAAATGGGCAGCCAATTTTAAATTTAAAAATTCCACAGTGTAGACAAAGCAATTTTTACTAAGCGCTTTATTTTTTTTTGACATTTTTGCGGTTAATTTTTTCCTCGTTTTTTTATCTAGCGTTTTATTCGTTTTTTCAATATGTAGGACAATTTCTTCAAACTCTTTGAGTTTTTTTTCTACAATTACTTGGACGTCATCTGCATCACTTGGCTGGTCAGATTTGTCACCATCATCACCGTCACTGTTTTGTGTGTCTTCTTCTTCTGAATGATCATCGTCTTTATCAATCTGGTGATTATCCCCGGGACGGCTTTTCCCATCCTCGTCTTGGGACCCCAGCTCTCTTGAGGTCTTCTTCCTCTCGGTCTGATTATTTTCATCTAGGCTTTTTATTAACAAGCGTTTATTCAAGAGGAAGAGATTTTTCAAGTAGCTTAACACAACTATGGTGTCCAGATCACAGTTGGTGTACAATTGGATGGAGTTCAAGTGGTTAATCTTTTGTCTTCTATATGTGATAGAAATTAATTTTTTATCATTGTACTTTTTCCTAAAGGCAAATTCACATTTTATATTGCTCGTTTGTATTTTTTTGTCGTGGTAATGTTGGATAAAATTTGCTGCGTCCTGATCTGTTTTGAAGGAACAGATGGCACTTTTTGTGGAGTTGTTTTTATTTTTAAAGAAGAAATATTTGGTACATATTTTTTTAAATTCTTCCTCCAGGGGGGCTACATCGTTTTCTCTGATATTCCGGACGAACACTTTATGCCTGTCAATTGGCGTGTTCTTTTTGTCACTTCTCTTCGCCATTTGGATTCACTGCATTTTGGGCATCACACGGGGGGTGCGGCGGCGTCCCGTCGGCTTCTACTTACGTAGTCTCCAAGTCAGCTTCTCCCCCTCTTTGACGGGTCTTCTTCCTTCTTTCCTCTTTAATAAGGACGACAAGGAAAAAGGGAACCCTCGAAAGTTACAAAATTGTAAATGCGAAAAAATGGAAGGGGGGTAATACCAATTACATTATGGCCAACTGACTAATGAACGGGCTATTGGACTAATATATGATTGTGCGTGGATGGGAAAAAAAACAAAAAAAAAAATTCCCTAAGGGCAAAGATGGTTATTATAATATAACACAGAAAGTGGAAATAAAAATTTTGCTCAAAGGGATAATTATGTTATGTTTAGAAGAAATCCTGTTCTATATGCAGAGCGCATATACGGAGTTTCCATTTTTTTTTTTTTTAATTTTGTTTGAAGTTGTTTTTTCTTCAGCCCCTTCACAATAATTATTTTTCCTTACGCGAGCTGTATGGTTCATTTGCGAACATGTCGGTATACGTATAAACCCGATTGTACAACTGGGTTTGCGGCGCTCAATTGAAAATTTCGTACGACACCCTCCCAGCGTGGTTTATATATAGGCAGCGCAAATTTGCCCCTCAAAAAAAAAAAAAAAAAAAATTTCCGACTTCGCCGCTTTAATAAGTAGCACCACATACGGAGAACAGGACATACGTGCGTCCTTCCTTTGCTTCATATTGCGACGTGGTCTCATTCTGTTAATGCCACATAACGATTTTATAAATCATTTTTCTTTTTGAGTTGGTTTTTGACTCTCCCATGACCGCATTTTATTATTGGGGCCACATATATTGTTCATATAAAAGCGGTCAATTCTGCGATAAAAAAAAAAAAAAGAAAAATTCGTGCGAGCGTTTTTTATGCAGCCGCGTAATGTATATAAACCTCGCATGAGATGCTTTTTTCCTGTGAAGGGTGATACTCCCTTGTTGTAAATTTTCCTCGTCAAACCACACTTGAAGGGTTGACGCCGTTTGGCAAAACTTCTTCGGCGAGCCAAGGCGATCTGCATGATGTGCCTTTGTTGGGAATACATACCTCAATTGGTTGCATAGGAAAATTTAAAAAGTGTCATTTGTTCATATCAGTTTGTGGATTATCGTCTACAGTCAAGGGAATTTGAACAAACGAGCAGAACGAAGGAAAAGTTTTTTTTTTTCTTTTCACCTGCTTGCCCCTTGTACATTATTTTGAGGTCTCATTGGGGAGACACATATTGATGCGAGCAAAGGGTTCATTTGGGCCCCCTGTTTCACAACCGCGCCGAAGATGAGTGAAGAGAAAGACTACCTCACGGGTAGCACCACTGCAGACAGTCACAGTGGTGGAGGCAAGAACCAACAGGGGGACGAAATTGTGAGCAGCCTGAACAGCAGTTGTGATAATAAGACGGAAACTGAACAAGGAGGACTGCTCGATACGGAGCAAGAATGTAACGCAGATGGGGAGGCAAACGTGGAGGAGCAAGCGGAGAAAATAAGAAAGAAGAAGAAGAAAAAGAAAAAAAAGTGGAGGACGAAAGAGCTGGTCGAAGCGGGAACAAAGGACGGGATGAAACGGAAAAAAAAAGGGAAAAATAAATTTGAAGGGAAAAAGGAAAACGGAACGGAAGCGAAAATGACCCCACACAAGGATTCCGAACAGTCGGGCCGTCAAGCAGCAAAAAAGAAGAGCCACAAGGGAGGCAAAGGACAACTGACAAATGAAGGAGAACCACGGCGAGGTAAAAATAGCAAAAGGGGTACCGACTACGAGGACACCACTGGGGGAAGCGACCTGTGCAACTCCAGCGTCAGGAGCCAAAACACCACAACGGGAAAAAATATTTTTGCCGACGACGAAATTGACGAGAGTGACGATGAGTACAATTTGAATACCCTTGGGAATTTCGACCTGAAGCATTATGAAGACCTGGACATTTTAGGTAAGGCGCGAAATGCTCGCTGGGCCGATGGGCTGGTGGGGTTATAGACCCGATATAGGAGTCTTGCTGGATGGTTTCCTCCCTTGCATTTTTCACATGTGGGCATGTCCACGTTGGGGGAGGGCCTTTCCATGCACATGTGTCGTTGTGTGGAGGGACATGTCGACGCACGCATTTTCTCATCCCCTTTTTCTAACCACACCCCGCTGACCTCAGGCTACGACATTTGGGGGAACAAAATTGAGAAGACGGACGAAAATGCCATCGACGATTTCCTCGAGTCAAAGACAGACAAAGACGCATGGAGGAAAATAAAGGATAAAAAAAACAACCGAATTGTGGAGTTGACCAACCAGGACCTCGAAATAATTAGAAGTATTCGCCAAAATAAAGTGGCCAAACTTCTGAACGAGGAAAATTACGTATACGAAAATGAAAAGGAGGAATACAAATCGGGAATGAAGGAGCCAGACAATCGCAAGTACAAACAATCAGCAGAAGAAAAAAAAAAAATACAACAATTAATATTGCATTTAATGGATAAGGAAAAAAATCCGGAGAAATATAAAAAGGAAGATGATGAATTTAAGTTATTGTACGATTTGTGGAAGCACAAAATTTACGATGATTTTAAAAATGTAAATGAAATGAATTTGCCACATATTTTGCCAGGACATAAATACAGTTACAATCCTCCCCCTGAGTTAATGTACAATTCAGCGGAGAGAAGAAAAATTTTAAAACAAAATAATGATGCTTTTATTCCTCAAAATTTTGAAAAAGTGAGAAATATCGAATTTTATAAAAAAACATATTTTGAATTATATCAGAGGTGTTTAGATATATACCTCTGTTCAAGATCTGTAAAAAATGTACTTCATATTAAAAAGGAAGATTTACTCCCCAAATTGCCTTCCACTCAATCACTGAAGCCATATCCTCATCATCCATTTGTGAAGTATATTATGAATGACACTCTGACTGGGGATAGAAATAAATACCTGAGTCAGATTGACGTAAGCGAAGATCGCCATATCGTGTATGTAGTTCAGTGTGGCAAGCTCTACATATTCGACATTCTCACGTCATACAATATTGCCGTGATAGACTTGGCGCACTACTATGAGGCGACCCTGCCCAAGGGGAAAGGCGCGGAAAGAAGCGGAGGAATCACTTTTGATAATATTCGTATAAAGGCCAATAAGGCATACGACATCGTGGCCGTGTCCTTCGCCAATATGATTCTGCTGTTTCACTATGAGAACTTCATTCCGCCAGCCAAGTCAGGCGCGGAAAATATCGAGCAAGTATATGGTACTGACGCCAAACGGAGGAAGAACTCCTTTGGGGACGGTGAGGAAAACAGCAGAAGTGACGACACGTTGTCAGGAGAAGAGCGTGACAGTGAGGGGGACGCCGAAGATTTGTCGGACGATGAAGATTTCGAGGGTTCCCTGGATGATGATGAGGATGGTAGCGACCAAGGAGACGACGATGAGGCGGATCATGGGGAGGAAGAATTAGGCAAAAATGACGAAGACGCGGAGGAGACGCTTTCCAGAAGGAAGTGCGAACCATTAAGCAGGACTATGGCTTATTATAAGACGAAAGGTTTACTCAGTGTGTTTCACAAAAATTTTAAAAATTCCGATGAATACGTGTACTCTCCCGATGTGGATGTGAAGTGGAAGCACATAAAATCGAATGACCGGGTAGGTGCAAGGCGGCTATGTGGGTTGGCGCATTCGTCGTCCAGGGGTAGCAGCGCGACTGTGGCGATTTGCGCTTGCGTTTGTTTTTATATATTTTATTTTTATTTTTTTTTTTTCCCTTCCCAACTGCAGAAGATAAAGTACTGCGTCGCAATCCAGCATGAGGGGAAAATAAGGGACTTCTCGTGGAACAAAAATGCCACGATGAGGCGGATCATGGGGAGGAAGAATTAGGCAAAAATGACGAAGACGCGGAGGAGACGCTTTCCAGAAGGAAGTGCGAACCATTAAGCAGGACTATGGCTTATTATAAGACGAAAGGTTTACTCAGTGTGTTTCACAAAAATTTTAAAAATTCCGATGAATACGTGTACTCTCCCGATGTGGATGTGAAGTGGAAGCACATAAAATCGAATGACCGGGTAGGTGCAAGGCGGCTATGTGGGTTGGCGCATTCGTCGTCCAGGGGTAGCAGCGCGACTGTGGCGATTTGCGCTTGCGTTTGTTTTTATATATTTTATTTTTATTTTTTTTTTTTTCCCTTCCCAACTGCAGAAGATAAAGTACTGCGTCGCAATCCAGCATGAGGGGAAAATAAGGGACTTCTCGTGGAACAAAAATGGTACAGCCGGCGGAGTGAAAATAGCTATACAGCTAACAATAATAATGCATACGAATAAAGGAAGGGAATACAAAAAAGGGGAATATTGTTGCATCCCCTGTCCCCCCCTCATAATGCGCACATCAATACGTGTTTCTTCATTTTTACGTCGTTTGCCCTTTTAGGAAATTACCTCTCTGTAACGTGCTTACGAAAAGTCGGACAATACCACTACTGCTATTTGCATCATTTAAAATCAATGAAGTCAATCAAACTGATAAAAAAGTACAATCAGAAGAGGGGAGACCTTGTTCAATCCATGTTTTTTCCCTCTAGTCCTTATTTCTTGGCAGCATTTCAAAACGGCATCACGTAAGACAGGAGATATAAATCATGCGTCAGATGAGAGCGGTTTCATGAGGATGCAGCTTGGTATGTATACTGACCCATTTGCATGTTGTAACCTTTTTTTTTTTTTTTTCCCATCACCATTTTCAGGATATATAACTTGAAAGCCTCGTCGAAGAAAGAGAGAATTGTAAAAAAGCTGAGAGGCATTCAAAATATAACATGTGTGGATGTACACATTAACGAAAGTTACATTTTATCCTCGGATGAGAAGGGGAATGTGTTCATTTTTGATTTGGATTTGTCGAGCAACCCGTACAAGAAATTTCACCTCCAGGAGTGTTCCTTGAAGAAGGTGGAGTTTCACAAAAAGTACAATTTGTTTTATTCGTTAAGTTCAAATGGAGTAGTGAATTTGTTTTATGCGAAATTTTTTCAAGACTATGTAACCAACCCTGTTTTGCTGCCAATTAGGCAGCTGTCGAGTGAGTCAAAGATTAGCGACGTCACCTGGTCGGGCAGGAGTCCATGGTTGTTCGCGCACACGGAAGGAAATTTTTCCGTCTTGTACACATAGCACACATATGTATGATTGTGTGCGAAGCCAAGTGCGTCTTGTGTATCTATTTTTTTTTTTTTTTTTCACGTTTACGCGCTTACATTTGAATTTTTTTAATTTCCATTAAGTTGGGAACTCTCACCATCGTCATTTGAAAACGTTTTCGTTGAACATTTAACGAATGCGCATGGAGGCATATGTGCAAATGGGCCAAAGGGGGGAAGACAGCTGTACCACTGTAAAGAGGATTTATGAACAACGCAAATGTGGAAAACAGTTTGTCAATTTTTTTCTTTTTTACCTGAACAATATGGGGAAAAAAAAAATTTATTTAGCTTTTTCGCCTGACTGTTCAGGTAAACTTTGTAGCCATTTTTAATTAGCGCCATTTGAATGTTGTAAAAAATTGAGAAAAAAGACCCAAATTGGCGAACTTTCGCAAAAGGAGCATGGGGCATGCATGTGAAACGCTCAGTTCAATGAAATATTAAATATAGATAAAATCATTAAAGCCGTTACTTTTCGTTTTACTTTTACTTTACTCTTTTGAACAAATTTTGTGTACTCCATCATATGTGTACACGAAGTTTATCTTGCTGCTTAAGAACATTGCCCGCTTAGGGTCCTTTAAGGGCTTACTCTATTGCCCCAGGAAAAAAAAAAAAAAAAAAACGAACAAATGAAAGAGTGAGCGAGCGGGGAAACGCAGGCTTAAACTAGTGAATGAGCTCACAAATGCGGGACTGTGTAACGAAATGAACGATAAACGGGGAAAACAAAACAATTAACGGCCAGAGCTCATAACTTGAGGGATCTTCGATAAAAAGACCTTAGTATATGCATCTTACTAATTTTCCCGTGTACACATATTCGCCTTTTTCAATAGGGCAAAACGAGAACACCTTTTTTATGTCTGTAAGAGGTGAAATGATCACTCGATGTTTTCGCGTTTTCCATGAAAGACCCTTTTTTAACGTCCTTTCGTTTGCTTTTTGACACACTCCCGCGTGACGCAAAAAAAGTGATACGCGTTGTGCAAAAGTTTTGATGCGCGATATGCAAACATCACACATGTGAAATATTCCCATACTTAAATTTTTTACATGAAGAAATTTCTGTGTTTTTTTTGCTGTGTTTTTAGCTGTATTTTTTAGCTTGTATTTTTTGCTTTCCTTTTTTGCCTTCCTTTTTTGCCATGTTTATTCCTTTTTTTTTCTTACCTTACTATTTTCCCCTTCGCCATAACAGAGAAATGTTTTCGCGGCCCATTGGCTTATATACTAATTTTCCAGTTCTTCCGCAAATTTGGAAAAATTAATTCATGAGATGGCATTTTTTTATAAAAAAATATGATCACCCCTTTTATGCGAACTGCTTTTGCTGCATCCATATTAAAATTTTTTTTTTTTTATCCTTGCTTAGAGTACAACAATATTTAAATTTTATACTTATGTCCAGGGCATAGTGCTTCCTTCTCCAAGTGTTCGTTTGTTTTGTGTGCATAACGATACAGCACGCAGACACTACAAGTGGGGCATGACGCGCTGCGCTTTCTCAGCAGGAAGCCCATTGAAGTCTTTCGGCTAATTGTCTGTCATGCCCTTGGTGAGAGAATGTAAAAAGGGACGTGCAAAACGGCGTCATACCAAACAGGTGCAAACATAATCGTGTAAGAATTGATAAAACAAGCAGTTAAAAACACAGTGTACTATATAGTGGGAGGATACACCATCCTACTCGTTCGGTGTAGCACTCAACGTGGCACTACGAACGAAGTAACGTTACAGTGATAAAACAGCGTTGAAGTGTAAAAAAAAAAAAAAAGAAAACCATTGCGCTTGCAAAAAATAGATCAGCGTGTATTTCTTCCCCCCCAAAAAAAAGCAACATCGTTTTGAAGTTCCATCCACTTTGCATTGGGGTGTGATGAATTGTACAATGAACTGCATCAGTTGTAATTTATAATTTATCGTTTTTTTTTTTTTTTTTTTTTTTTTTTTTTTTTGGAGAATATTCAAGCTGTTGAAAATTTTGATAATGTTAACAATTTTAACAATTTGAGAATATTCCTAATTTTGAGAAATCCATGCATTTCGTTCTTTTTTTCGAAGAGGACTTCTCTCCCCCCCCCCGCCCGGACACCAAGTCAGCTAGCCAAAATTAAAAAAAAAAATATATACATATATATATGTACGTAGTTACGTGCTACTGGAAAGGGGGGGGGATAAACATAGAAGGGCCAAATTGAAAGCAGCAGCTTAGTCCATTCGCCGCGCTCTGTACGTCCTACATATAATGAGCATTAGCGAACGTACAGGAAATGAGGTCACAATAGCAGAACAAGAAAGGAAGGAAGAAGGCAGGTGCGCAGTTAAAAATGACAAAAATGTGTCCCCCAGGGATGGTGAGAATATGCCCCATCTAATGGAGAATATGAAAAGTGCGGCCAATGATGAGGACTCTGTAGAGGTGGGAAATGACTCTCCGGTTGGAGAAAAGGCGTTGGGGAGTAGCGTTTTGTGTGTAGGCTGCAGTGGCGAGGCATCCCACATGGACGAAGGGATTATCAACCACCCAGGCGAGGAAAATCCTCGAACAGAGGAGAACAGTGATAAAAAGGCGGAATGTGAAAGCATCCCCAATAAGTTAAAAAATGTTAAAAATGAAATCGACGCGGAGACAAAACCCAACGCCCCAATTAGTAATAACGCCACGTGTGTAGAAAACGTCTCTAATAATAACGCACGTGTAGAGGGGTGTAGTAACACTCACGTGAATGATGAACGTCCACATGTTGGAGCGACCAGCAATGGTGAGCTTATTCCAAATGAGAGTGGCGCGTTAAATGTGGAGATTGATGCACCACTGGATGAAGGAAATTTCTCATCAGATGACAGAAACGAGGATAACGCAGAGAGTACGGGGAGCTTCATGTTAGAAGAAGACACGAATTTATCCCGCAGAGCGTATCGAAATTTTCACATATGTTCAATATTTATACATGGGACGTTGTTATTAATGGTAATATTACTGATGGGTATTTTATGCTACGATTTTATGAATGTACCTTTTATGTCTCAGAAGGAGAAGACAATGACTTACTTTTGTGGGTTGCTACTAAGCATGCTAGGGTTACACCTTTGCTTAAATTTATATATGTCTTTCGTATTATTGAGACAAGCAGAAGTTTCAAAGATGTTAAAATCTGTGGAGGCCAAAATTCATGTTATTGTTTTGGTGTATTTTTCCATGTGTGCATATATTTACTTTTTTGAAGACAAGAATTATCCCATCAGCTCTACCTTTTCCTTCGCCATCATTTTAGCAATCATATATTATTTTATGCCCATATTTTTATATATAATTTTGAGGATTTTGTTTATAATTGTAATTTTGGTTTTAGTTTTTATTAAGAGGAAGAGTCCCACGCCGAAGAAGGTTTTGAAGAAATTAAAAATTATGAAATATGTGGATTATAGGAAGTATTGTGAGGAGGAAGCTTGTTTTCATAGCGCCTATTTTACGAACTGGAGGGAGTTGAACGGGGAGGGTGTGTCGGCGGCACAAGAGGATGTGAGTGGTACGAGGGAGGCCATGACGACGACGGCGGGGGAGGGAGGGACAGTGATGGCTGCACGGGGTGGTGATAATAAGGGGGACGAAGTTGTGTCAGTGGAGCCCATGTCAAATGTAAATGCGGGTGGGAACACCATCTCCACGACAACGTCCTGCGTGCGGGATAATAGTGCGAATGTAAGCGGAAGCGGCCCTCCTAACGGAGACGGTCCCCCTAGCAGTAGTGCGAATGACCGGCCAACCCGTAGCGGTAACAGCAGTACGAGGAGTAACCTGGACAGGCACCTGTTCTATGATCGCGCTGGAGGAGTTACTGGTCGAGGAGGGTCCTCCCATCGCGGGGGTACTCAATCTAATAACAAGGACAGGCACGACGCAGCGAGCGGTAACCAAAATGTAAGGTATATTGCCAATCCACATCCTCCCTCCATTTACGAGAACAACCGGGACATTGCAAATACCAGCGACGAAGCTAATGGGGAGCCAAATAAAGACGGCAAATCAGGAGCCGTTTTTGAATACTTGCAGAAAGTTTTTAAGAAAAAAAATAATGCACTGGAAAATGACAATGTTGTTAAAGTACATGAAAATAACTTGGAGGAAAATTCGTTTCATATAAACATTGAGAGCTCCGATTATGTGTGTTCAATCTGTTGCATCGAGTACCTAAATGATGATGATATCTGTATTTTGCCTTGTAACTACCTGCATTATTATCACAAGGAGTGTATTTTTAGGTGGCTGAAGAGGAACAACGATTGTCCCCTGTGCAGGAAGTGCATTGGGAAAATCTGAATCTATGAGGTTTAGTTCGGTTGCCATTTGTGAAGGGAAGCGGCGTTTGTATGTACATTATGTACACTTGCACAAATGTGCGAATGAAGGGAGGGATGGGGAGGTTAAGACATATGCATGGGGGGATCCAAGTTGGGTGCCTCTTCATTTTTAACGGGTGTATACATCATGCATCTGTTAGCCGTACTGTATATCATATACAGGTTGGTTTTCTTTTATGAAGCAATTGGAAGTTTTTTCCCCCCTTATATATATATATATATATATATATATATATATATATATATATATTTTTTTTTTTGTCTACACTAGAATATTGCGGCATTATTTCATTTTGCATAATTTGGTTTCTTCCATTTTGATGCCCTTTTTATGAATCCCAATTTAAAAATTTTTTTTATGGCATATGCGTATATATGCCTGCGCGTTACCCCTTTCTGTGCATGGGAGCGTAGTTGCGTCCTTGCCTGAAGTGGTGATGCTGATTTGATTTGCAGCTGCATGTGTATGGGTACGCATTTTCTCATGCGTCATGCATAGCTATATGCCAAGACGTTACTTATTTAATTTTTTTTTTTTTTTTTTTTTAGTGCATATCACATTTGCATATATTGTGCATTAGTTATATGATTGTGCAGTTGGCATTACGAACTGTTGATTTTTTTTTTTTTTTTTTTTTGCTTTTTTTTTTCCATTTTAACTTGGTTCCCTTGGGACCATATGGGTTCGACTTAGTTTTTACTTCAATTATGGTTTCAGTTAAGTGGCCTCAACTTCATCGCAGCGTAATGGCGCACTTGACATTTGCGTCTGTTTTTTTTGCCACGTGAAGGGAACTAAGTAGACCTTTTTTTGTGTGTGCAACGGGACGAGGCGGGTTTTACGCGGCAGTTGCGCCCTGATGTTAAAAGTAACATTTTCCCATAGCGGTGGGAAGCTTTGCCAAACAGTTCGTTGTTGTAGGTATGCATTATCTGCGTATGCCCCATGTGTGAGGTCAAAAAACATCATCGTTTCGTGTGTAATCCTGTACTGTGAGAGGCAACGTTGCAGTGACTGCGAGGGCGTGGGTTTTCCTTTGTGCGTTTTTGTTCATGACCTTAGTTCACACTGTGAGAGGACATGCCCCTCATGGGTAAAAAAGGGAACATAAAAAAAAATGTGGTGGAAAGATGAGCAAAATTTAGCACGTCCAAGTGTACGTTCAGGTGAACAGTTTGGAAGAATGTTTTTTTTTTTTTTTTTTTTTTTTTTTTAAGTCGACGTGGTGATGTCTGCTGCGAGAATGTAGCGGAGGAGATATGGTGAATTATTGCATTGTTAGGTAAATGTTGTGGAAGTGAAGCGCGCTCCATCAGTTCACTAGCAAAATATCCTCGTTGCATGTCTTACGACACGACTGTTATATGTGGGACAAGTTGATTTACACGCAAGCTGGGGAAGGCGCAGTGTGTATTCACGATTTTATGCCACGTGCCCTGAGAAACTAATTTTTGCCTCATCGAATTGGGGAAGCACATATAACTGCCGAAGGAAATGCAAGCAATCAGACAGCCAAACAAAATGCGCGTTTCCGAGACAAATATGCATATGCTTTTTCCCTTTTTTTTTGAGGGCGCCGCACGATGCATGCGCAAGGCGCATTTTTATTTCGTTCAATAATTTCTTCATTTTGCATTATTTGGCCTTGTATTATTTTTTTTTTATTTTCCCCACTGCAAACGTGTGTAGATATGCACGCACTACGTACATTAGCAGGGCAGCCACTGGGAGGCCCCCAATTATTAACAAGCATGCACACCATTTCGGACGATGTAAATGTGTACATGTGGCGTCCTTGGTACTATACACATGGCGCACAGAGGAGAATTCTCCTCCTCTCGCAACGAAGGTAAAAAAAAGAAAAAAAAATTCGTTCCTTCCTGCATTTATTACTTGCTTTCGACTTGCCTATCGTGTTAGGATATGTTCCAAAAGTTCCCTTCTTTTTGCGTCCTTCGCTTATCGTTCCATCGATTGCCCGTTGGCACGACTTGCTTCACCCGTTTGTCGTTCCTTTGGGCGTTCGTTTTAATTTGTAGCAATATTTTCCCCCGTGGCAAACACTATTTTTTTTTTTTTTTTTTTTTTGTACTTCTTATTTTCTCACTCTCTCAATCTCTCACACTCTCATTCTCTAACTTCCCCGCTTCCACGTCGCGTGCAGCATCCTTGTGCAAAAAAAAAAAAAAAAAAAAAAAAATACTTTTGTAGCAAGCGTATTATAAGTGTGCCCTTTTTTTTTTTTGTAAGTATAATTTTTTTATTACAATTTTTTTTTTTTCTGTTTTCACTCCCGCCCTGCTTGCGTTTGTGTAATATACCTCTTGTTGTTCGGCCACTTCCTTTTGTTCGCTTGGCAATTTGGTGATCCATTCCCACGGCCGTGTGTTTGCATACGGTGGTGTGTGTTACTTCCCGCCTCTTACTGAGTTGAGGTGTTACTCCCTTTGGGTGTATCCCTTTTTTTTTTTTTTTTTTTTTTTTTTCCCCCCCCCCTTCTTCCCAGTGAAATTTGTACAAATGGCGGACGTGCTGAACATTTCGAAAATCCCGCTTTTTTCAAAAAAGGAAAAAGAATTTAGCGATTTGCAAAAAAGCAAAGAGGCTCATGAGAAGATCCTGTGCAAAGAGACAGACCGATTTACATTGTACCCCATTTTGTACCCAGACGTGTGGGATTTTTATAAAAAAGCGGAAGCGTCCTTCTGGACAGCTGAGGAAATTGACTTGTCTAGCGATTTAAAAGATTTCGAAAAATTAAATGAAAATGAAAAACATTTTATTAAACATGTGTTGGCTTTTTTTGCAGCCAGTGATGGAATTGTATTGGAAAATTTAGCGAGCAAATTTTTACGCCAAGTGCAAATAACGGAAGCAAAGAAATTTTACTCCTTCCAAATAGCAGTTGAAAATATTCACTCGGAGACGTACAGCTTATTAATTGACAACTACATAAAGGACGAGAAGGAGAGAATGAATTTGTTTCATGCTATTGAAAATATTCCAGCTGTGAAGAACAAAGCGTTGTGGGCAGCCAAATGGATCAACGATACAAACTCCTTTGCAGAAAGGATAGTAGCAAATGCTTGTGTCGAGGGCATTTTATTTAGTGGAAGCTTCTGTGCTATCTTTTGGTTTAAGAAACAAAACAAGTTGCATGGCCTGACTTTCAGTAATGAGTTAATTAGTCGAGATGAAGGATTGCACACAGATTTTAATTGCCTCATTTATAGCCTGCTCGAAAATAAGCTGCCTGAACATGTGGTTCAGAATATTGTCAAAGAGGCCGTAGAGGTGGAGCGCTCTTTTATTTGCGAATCTTTGCCTTGTGATTTGATTGGAATGAACTCAAGGCTCATGTCGCAGTACATTGAATTCGTGGCGGACAGACTGTTGGAGTGTCTGGGGTCTTCGAAAATTTTTCATGCAAAGAATCCATTCAACTGGATGGACCTCATATCTTTGCAGGGCAAAACCAACTTTTTCGAAAAGCGGGTGGCCGATTATCAGAAATCGGGCGTCATGGCGCAGAGAAAGGACCAGGTCTTTTGCCTCAACAGCGACTTCTAAAGGCCGTCGCCCACGCGTGTAGCAGCGAACATGTGTAGAAGCGAACATGTGTGTGCATCGCCACACCGGCATGACGATGGCCCCCTTTGTCAACACCCCCCCTTTTGTGTTGCCTTTCATACGTGTTACTCCCAATTGTGCAGGCGAGTGAAGCGGGAACGGCGGCTCCTTTCGCCAATCGCATCCTCGCCACTTGGCTCGTTTTTTGTTTTTACAAAACGAAAACAGAAACAAAACATGCTGCATGAAATGTGAAAAGATGAAGTGACAAATGGGTTGGAAAGGTCCTACATGTAAGGCGTAGGGTAGCGTAGCGAATTGGTGCAACCCCGCACCAACACATGTGTGTTTGTGTGTATGGATGTAAAGGATACAACAAGACGTGACAAACAAATGATAAATTTGCTTTGCCCCTCTCGTGGGCATGTCCCCCTCCTTGCCCAATTAAGAAAGCGCATTCGTGTAGGAGGCGACTGGTCCTAATTAGTCACACATGCAGTCATTTAATTTTCGCTTGACCTCCTCCACGTCGATATGTTTCCCTATGAAGAGGAAGGAGGATGCGAAGACGTCGCCGCCAGTTAAAATGTTCTTTACGTTGTACTCACCCCCACCGCTGCTACCACCATTGTCGCCCCCACCCGTTTCGTCACTTCCCGAGGAGGAGTCCGAAAGGTAGGCGTCAATATCGGACACGTCGTCCGCATGGTTGAAATGTTCCATGGGAGAGTCTTCCTCATTATCTGTTGATAGTGGCACACTGCCCATTTCCGTTTGCACCCCATCCAGGGCAGATGGAAAGAAGGTGTGAAGGTCGCTCATGACCAAATCGATTTCGTACAGGTCGCCAACACTTTGGTAATAATACATGTTTAGCTTTAGCTTACTTTTGTTGTTATAAATATCATCATTGAAGGCGACAAACATGCCTTTCCCTCTATATATTTGCAAATTTTTCTTCCATAGAAGGGAGACTAAAGCTTCATTAATTTTTTTAAAAGAAAAAATATTTTTTTTTTTTGCAGAAAGGATCTGTCTCAGTGTGTTTTTACTTTTTTCCTTGACAAATTCATTTTTCATTTTATTTAGTTTTTCACTTAAATGAACTAGGTATGGAATGCTGTGTTCATACTGCAGTGAACAATTAACAAAATCGTTATAATGGAATACGTCCTTGCGATCTGTATTGTGAGTGGTCATGGAATTAGCCAATATCTCTTTTATATTTTTTTTTTCATAACACTTGAGTTCTGTTATCCTTTCCATCGGGATGGTTGCATAACTGGTGAGGTAGATGTAACTTAATGGGTTCATGTTACTAACGAAGTCTTTTATTTTTTCCTTTTGCTCTTCACTAATTTTGTCTATCTTATTTATAATAACAACGTCGCACACGATTAGTTGTTCGTTCGCGGAGGTGGTGTCGTTGGTGGGTACGTTCACATGTTCCTCTTTCTTCCCCTCTTCTGCTTCCTCGGAAGGGAGGCTCTTCTCTTCCTTTTCTGTCTTAGTGGAAGCGAATTGAGAAGCAGCTGCTGCGAGGGCGCCATGAGAATGGAGTGAGTCATCCCCTTGGAAGTAATTCAAAAAATTATATGCGTCCAATAGGTAGACAATGCTGTCGAGGTAAATTTGGGTTTTGTTCAGATCATCTAACCATAAGAGATTGTTGAGCTGTATGTTGTCGTACACCCCCGCCACCTCGACAAAGATATAATCGTAAGAACTTTTCATGGAGAGTATATTTTCAATTAACTTAACAAAGTTGCTTTTGTTGGAGCAGCAGAGGCAGCCGTTGTTGAGTTCGTATATGTAGCCCTCTTCTTTTTCGATCCGATTGACAATGGTTATGTCGTCGTGACCATCCTGCGCACTGTCATTAGCAGCGTCGTGAGCATCCTTCCCGCCCGTGCTCCTCCCATTCCCCTCCTTGGGGAAATTATAAATGTCGTTTATATCCTTGAACACAATTTTGTCAATGTTGTTATTATTTTCTGTGAACTCGTTGTGGATGATGGCGATTTTTTTTCCATTTCGGATGCTCTCCTTGAGGAGGTTCTTGAGCAGGGTGGTTTTTCCTGCCCCCAGGAACCCAGTGATGATGGTGATCCCGATCATTGCTTGGGGGGAGGACGTGGAAGGGAGCAGGCGAGAGGCAGGGGTTCTTCCGATCAAGCGATGAGATTGCGCTTCTACGAGTTCGCTTCTTCCGTTTGATCGCTTTTGTGTATTTGTTCACTTGACACGGTTACCCGTTCTGTGGAATACTTCTGAGCGCGCCCGCAGCGTGGTGTGTTTTTCTGTTTGCGACGTTTTTGTCCAGTTGGATTTCCCCGCTGAGCAATTTCACCACACGTGAGAATGGGGTGCACCTTGTCATGATGATCACCCACTTTTGTTGGCCATACATTTTGTTATTCTCACACGGCAATTTTTTTTTTTTTTTTTTTTTTGAGAAGAAAGCGGCAGCGTGATGTGGCGACTCCTTTTTGTGGTGCCATTTTAAAAGAGCACTTTTGCAAAGCTAAAGGAAGTAGCCAGTGGAATCATTCTTTGGTAGATCAAAATATGGAAAGGGGGATTTTTTTTTTTTTTTTTCCCACCTCTTATAAGTGATTCCCTGTTGGGTAGGGGGGACAAAGTACAATGCTGTATTCTTTTTAAGAGTACGTGATGAGGGAGAGTGTGTGGTATGTATGTAAAGCGATTGACCTACTTGTGTAGAGCACGCTTGCACATCCGAGACACTGAGGAGGGAGTGTTGTGGCTGTCCGTTGAAGCTACCCCTAACCACACACAACTCTCTCACTGCGCAAGAATGCAGAAAAAAAAAGTCGAGGCGCAACATGCCAAGGTGAAAGAAAAGGGCGCATAAATGAGAAGCAGTACCAGGAGGTGCCTTAAGCTGTTGATCGCCGTTTATGTAATTTGTTCCAAACATATCATGTGCCTACGAAAAAGGTTTTTCTTTAACTTCTTGGATAAGGGTAAAGTGGTCCTGTTGGTATGTGTGAAGAGAAAAAATGTGATGCGCGTGAGTAACAGCTACGTGAACAGCTTGATATACACGAGGGAGGATGACATATATAAGATAAACCAGCTGGAGGGCTGCACGCCCCGAGTCGGTGGCAAGTTAGCGGACAAGTTGAGCGTAGCGCAATTGGTCGGTAGTTCGAGCGACGTGCCGGCCGCTGCGCAGAGCGATGACGCAAGCATCATCTCGAACAGCAACTTGGACACTTTGCACGATGTGCATGATGTGGAGGACGAGCGAAGAGAGGACAGCGTGGGTGGCGCCCCTGAAGGGAGCAGCACCGTAGAGTCTCTCCTCCCCAACCAGTTCGAGCCATCAGATTACGAACTACAAATGTACAAGAACAAATGGAAGATTCCAATTTACTGGATAAAAAAATTGGACAGGTTAAAAAATATTAACGCCATTAATTGTTTACAACTTTTGAAGGACGATAATTTGCTGTACTTTGACAATTATAAAAATAAAGGTTTGTTAAAATTTTTAAATGAAGAAAAAAAAAAATATAGCAACTGCATTATTTTGGTGCGTGTTGGAGATTTTTATGAAACCTATGGACTGGACTGCATTTTCCTAATTGAATTTTTAAACATAAAAAAAATGAACAATAAATTATCATGTGGTTTTATAAAGACGAGTATCAACAAGGCTCTACACATTTTAACGAGTAACAATTTAAATGTTTGTGTGTATGAGGAGATGAATGAGATATCCTTGAAGATGAAAAAGAGGTACCTTTCACAGATTGTTACTCCTGAATTTCCCATTTATCTGAACAACATACAATATTGCCAGGGGGATAGAAACAATGTGGAGGATGAGTCCTCTGACAAAGGGAACAATCTCTTTTTTCAGTCATACGATTTGGAAGACCACTTTGTGGTGAAGGAAATCGTGTGCATTTACATTGAAAGTAAGAATATTTTTTCTCTGTGTAAAATTAACTTAAGTTTGAAGACCATTTCTATATTCGATAATATAACATTTGATGTGCTAAATGTTTATTTGAAGAATACAAACTTTCTGAAGGCTTACATTCACCAACATCACAACTCGAGCTTCACGAAAAAAATTACGCAGCTATTTCGGGTCGAAAATTATTACCTCTTTAGTAACTTTAGCAGCAGTCTGCGTTTTCATTTGTTTATACTGGATAAGCTGAAGCGCCAGATAAATGTGGGAGGCTTGTTCAGGCTTATAAGGAACAAGAGTGTGTTTCGTGTTGGCACGGATAACAACCGTGCTGTGTCGGAGAAGCCAGCCAAGGATGCACACACATACTACTCCTATTGCACCCCTCTTAACATATTTACGAGTTATAACATGGGAGTGTACAGGCAGAATAATTGCTACGATAACAGAAGTAGCTACCTCTTTTATAACATAGTGGATGTGGACAACAGTGACTCAAACAGTATCAACATTAACGAGTCGATGGAGTTTTTTAAAAATATTTTTCTTTTTTATCCTCCCTTCAACGTTACAAAACATATAAGATACATAAATGAGTACATTCAGAGGAACCAACAAAACTTAATCATTCCAAACGTGAGACCTTTTCGCAACAACGTCATTGTTACTCTTTTGTCTAACTTGAAGGCTGATCATACAACGTTAAAGAAAATATTTACCAATGTGCAGGCAGTACACAAGTGCATGCACCGATTTGAGTACTCCCTATTGACATCCATTTTTCGAGTGATGAATCACCAGAACAGCTTTGATTTAAATGTTGTTAAATTTTATCATTTGCTAAAAAATATTGAAAGCATTTTGGTGGCCAACTTGGAATTGCATCCCTCCACTTTTTGTTACCGGTCTGACATTCCTGCCTTTAATGAATTCGTTTTTTATCACGAAAATGAGGTGCATAATTTAGTTAATGAGAATTTGCTGAAGGAGGAGAATGAAGCGATTGTGGAGGCCAGGAAAGATTTATTTGAAAGTGTCCTTCGTGATTATGCTGATTTTGAAAATAATGGGGGGGGGAGGAACAAATACGATTTAGATGGCCTCAACAAAATGTTGAAAGTGGATAACACGAATGACATTATTGGGATAAAAAAGAGAAAGAAGAATTTTCAATCTGGTCATTTCTTTCATCCATTGAATAAAAAATCGGATGTGATGAAAAATGTTTATGTGACTGAACACGTGCAAAAGAGAGTGAAGAGCTACTTGTCTGCCATTGATAGGAAGAGACGCCGAATCAACGACATTATTCGCGGCGTAAATGTTCAGCTGTCCTCTTCTGTACATATTCTTTCCTTTGTGTCTAACTTTTTGCAGATCGTGCAGGTCGGTTGCGCTAGGAGATGATGGAACGAGAGTTGGCGTAGTTTTTTGTGCTTTTCCTCCTCTCCGTATTTATATTATAATGTATACGTGCACACTTTGCCTTGTCCTCCCCGCAGGCCCTGTACAACCACACCATAAACAGCATCAAGCGCAAGTGGAGCCTGCCCATCTGCAAGCACCTAACTGTGACGTACGCAAAGAAGACCTTTGACACCATCGAAGAGAAGCTGAGTTACATGCAGAGGTGCCTGTACGACGAGGAAGAAAACACAGCTGGGAAGGACAACCAGGATGGAACGAACGATCCATTGGACCATTCAGATGGGCAACCTTTTATCCAACTGAGTGAAGAAGAAGAGAAACAAATAAAACGAAATGTGGATCCCGATTCAATCGGGGAGATAAAAAAAATTTACAAAAAAAAAAATTACATGAATGACTCTGTGGCGTATATTTTAGGAGCCAAGCCGTACAATATGAGTAAAGACAACTTAGTCAAGTACGATATTTTTTTAAAAAAAAAAAAATTCATTTTGCTGACTGGCAAAAATATGAGTGGGAAGACGACGCTGTCCTTTACGTTGCTGTGTATCCTTTTTCTGGCCAACCTGGGTAAGGTCTTTGTGGTGCATCCGTTTTAACCCATGCGCGAAGTGGTTATTGTGGGGGCAGTTCCCATGGCGTCTCAACCGCTTCTCCACTGCTATCACCACTGCTATCACCATTGCTAACCCCCCCGCTCAGGCATGTACGCCCCCTGCGAGGAGAAAAGCATTGTCTCGAAATTCCGCGAATTCTACAGCTTAAAGAATGTGAACTATCAGGAGCAGATTGAGAATATGTCCCTATTCAGGGAACAGACCTACTACATAAATTCAATAATTGAGGAGATCAAGGAAAACAGCCCCTTCTCCGGACAGTCTACTCGGGATGGGGAGATTTTCATTCTGTTTGATGAACCTTGCATAGCGACGACGCCAGTGGACAATGCGGGTAAAGTTGGAGGTGTGCCCCCCGCGGCCTTTTCCCAGGAGGGGCATTCGCCAAGCAGGGCATATAAACAATCGCTAACGCGCAAATGCGAATGCACAAACGGTTAACGAAAAAAATGGTTTCCACTTTTCCCCATCCCCCCCCCTATGCAGTGATCATCAGCGCCCTGTCGGAGTACCTCCAAAACTACTGCGGAATAATAATCACACACAACTACGACTTGTTGAGGAAAATTTGCCTGAACAACAATATCGTTTTTAAAAAAATAAATGAAAGCATAAACTATTTGACGACCCAAACATATGAGCAAAGAGCCACGCTGGAAAATGGAGTTTGCAAAAACAGCGAAGCGTTGGAAACGTGTAGGCACACAAAGGTTGATGGTAAACTATTGGACCTCTTAACCTTGTACCAAAAGAAATACAAGTTGATACATAATTTAAGTGACAGTCTGTATTACAAATTTTTAGAGTACGTAAAATGTGAGGACGGACAGGGTGGGAAAAAAAGTGTGAACGATTTTTTTGCATATTGTTTGAATGGCCCTTTGGAGGAAGGGGGAACACACCAAGGTTATTTTGCCGAGGGACAGAAAATGATGGGTACAGTGGAAGGAGACAGCTGGAAAGATATGAGACACTGTTTGGAATTTATGCAGAGAGGACAGACCGATGAGGCAGTTGACAACAGGATTAGGGTTGACAATTCGAATGTGAACGAGGAAGAGCCATATGCTGGAAGGTTGCTCAACTGTAGTGAGGATAAAAACTTGGGGAGTGCCACTCTGGACGCGGACATGGTTCGTAAAATGGTCCGCAAAATGCAGGAGAAGGAACTTACCGTAGCAATGGAGCAAATTGAGGATGCAGTGAAAAGAAAAGTTTTTAAAATTGCAATGAATGAGGATGTCCCCATTTTTTTTAAAAACAAGAGTGTAGTTTACATTTTGTGCATATTTGCTCAGAAAAAAAAAAAACCATATTTTTACATAGGAATAAGTGATAACATTTCCGAGAGGTTAAAATGCCACACGAGGAATTTATTAAACAATAAAAATCTTTTAAAAAATGAAAAAAAAAATAACATACTAAATTATAAATTTGACATGGACTCCTTTTACACACTTTTGTTTCACGTGGAAAATAAAATGTTCGCTTCGAAATATGAGAGGGAGTTATCGGACTTGCTGAAAGATGGATATGACATTTTGTCCAAGTAGACGGTTACAGTTGTGTAGGCGTGGATTACTGGCGCCTTTTGCTGTGAGGAAGACTTTTTTTTTTTTTTTTTTTTTTTTTTCAGCACAGTGGAAATCAAAATTGGATACAACAAGTTCCCTGCGTTTACCCATTTGGAGGGATGGGCTTGCGTGTCTGCTCCGCACTTTACAGATAATAAATCTCTGACACAAAGTGGGAGCACTCACTGTCATGGCATTTTTGCACAAATAAATTTTTGAGATGGTTAAAAACAACATATATGTGATTTGATTTGTGTGCACGGTTTTTATTTTTACAAAATTTGTTTTCCCTGAAATGGAGAATGTACTCCTCCGCGTTACATGTGATGGAATATATAAAATATTTTATGAGGAAGAGAAGGGCATAATTTTTTTCTTTTTTGATCTGTGTGCATTTTGTATACTCATCCAAGACGTATGAATAAAATTTCTCATTTTTTAAAAATAAATCATCATATGTGTCTAGGTTATTGCAAAATTGCGGCGTGATTATGCCTTTTCGCACGGGGGACACATGATCATGCTGTTGTATCTCCTCTGATGTGCTGCTATTTTGTGTGTGTATTTCCTGTGTTGATGATTTGTCCACAGATGAATACTCCTCCGATGAGGCGACTTCCCCCTCGCTCGCGCCCTGCCTGTAGAGGTCATACTGTAGCCTATTATGGATGGAAACAATTCTGTAAAAATATTCCTTGCTAATTTCTCCTTGAAATTTATTTACATATATTTTGTTTTTTTTAAAATTTTTATATAATTCAAAATTCCAGAAGAAAATAATTTTTAAAATGGTGTGCACGTGGGCATCATTAATGTCTTCTAATTGAATGCCTTTGTGTACGTACAGCTCTTTGGTGACGGGCGTTGCCCAAATGCGTGCCTTTTTCGCGTTTCCAGTGCCGCAGCGGGAAAAAGCGATATGGGAAGAGGCGCACGTCGGTCTGTGCAGGTGTTCATAGGGAAGCCCATTCGACTGTCCAAACGTGTCCATCTGGTCCCTCTTAAAAATTACGTCCTCCCCTATTTGACAACTCACATCATCGTCCTGATAAAAAGTGACCAAACTTTTTAATATCAAGCTGTCTACGTTCGCTTTATTATATCTCTTCACATTATACCTGCTAAGCATTAATTTGCTATTATTTTTTTTTTTCTTTTTGCTCGAAAATATCATGCGGAAATTTCTGTTCCTGCTATACACAGAATTATCCACAATGCATTTGAGCAGTACCATTTCTTGGTCACCATTTTCGTTTCCGTGCATTTGAAAAAGTTCCTCTTTATTGTGGACATCTCCCTGAAGGTTCTTCTCTTCACGTGAGGGCGTGGAGTCAGTGTCCTCTACGGATGGAATGTTCTTCTGCGTATTTGTCTCCCCGTTTTTGTTGTCCACAACTTCGTCCCTCTTCATTGCAAATAGAAGAATGAGAAAATTATCATCTGCTCTGTCAAAACAATTATTTCCTTTTGCATTTTCTAATTTATGAACATAAATTTGCACTATATCGTTTAGTGATTTAGTGTACATGGAAAAGTACGAACTGTTTTTTATTCTTTCTTTTGCATCCCTAGGTTTGTTTCCGTCCCCGTTGGGTGCCCCTCCACAGAGCGAACTACTCTGATCGTTCAAAATTATCCTTCCACTGACGGACGTGCTATCATCTCTAGGAATCTCCCCACCACTGATGGCCATCACAACATCGTGTATCTCGCTGAAGTCGTTTATGAGGTCGAGCGCTGTTTTTTCCTCAACGGGGTGTTCTCTCGATTCGTTCTGCAAGTTAGGGTTGGCAAAAGCGCCCCTATGGTTATCCCCGCATGGCTCAGACAAATTTGGACAACTCCCATTGAACTTACAACGGGTGGTGTCATTTTCTCCAGTGATGCTTCCCTGGTGGGTATCACTTGTCCGGTCTTGCACATTAGTAGAGCCACGGGAACACAAATTGGCGTTGTCTTCAGTGGGAAGAGGAGATGCCTTTTCACCCTTTATATAAACAGTAGATAAATTAATGACATAAGCGTTTTCATTTTCCTGTATTGCTCGCGAAATATGATTTATAAACAGGTCGACAAAATATTTTATGCAATTTTCGTTGTTAAAAAGGAGAAGCTTTTTCTGGCTCATTTGTGGACTGAACTTAGTTTGCCTTTTTTTGTACTTTTCGTAAAAAAAATCATCTGACTTGTTCAGGCGATTTTGAAAAAAGTAACAATAATCTTTTAAATATTCGTAATAATCATCATCATGGTGTAGGCAATGAATATTTTTTATAATTACGTGGAAGGATATTTTTTCGCTTGTAGAGCTATCTAAAATTATAACATCATTTAAGCAAATTTTTACATCGAAATTGGTGTACACGAATAAGCACAGCTCGATGAGGAATATGAAGAGGATGGAGTCCTTATTTTGGTGCCCGTTTAGCACGTCGTACTCCAGGTCGAAGAAGAGCCACCGTTTTTCGTTTGCCAAGATGAGTTCGTAGAGATGCATTGGTTGGTCATGTGGTGGGCGTCCACCCCCTGTGAGCGCTTCGTTTGGTGGCGCTTCGTTTGGCGTCGATTTGCATGGCGATGATTTGCATAAGGGCAAATTGTGTGGTTTCCCGGCGCTGGGCCCTTTCTCATCGAAGTATATGTCTTCCAACGACAAGGCGTAGAAGCAGTAGAATTTCAGGAAGCGGTACAGACTGTCCAATACGAAGCATCTCTTGGCATTTTCTATCTCCTCCGTGTATATAATTATTCCTTGTCCATTGCGGGAGGAGGTGGCCCGACTTGGGGGTGCCCCTTCCTCCGCCTCCACATCAGTATCTGCCTCGGCGTTTGAATGTACCTCGATCAGTTGGGCGTAATGTGAAAGGGCCTCGTGCTGTTTGTAGAACCACCTTTTTCTTACACCCTGCGAAACAGACTGATCGAACCGTTTTAGCCTTTTCAGGATGCCGTATTTTTCTATGTTCACTTCGAAGATCGGTTTCTCGCTTTTCCTCTTCCCGTAAAATGTCTCCGCATCCACCGCCATGGTTCATATGTGCGTAGTTGATTTGTATCAGACGTGAACAGCAGTGGGTGCGTGTGGGTCATGAGTTGTGCGAAGGGTCAATCGGCAGTTTCCACTTCGAACCAGACACACCATGTTATTTATTTTGTTAGTAGGTGTTGGCCAGCTTTATGTAGTACATGGAATTTTTCCCCAAGCTGTCATCCTGAGCTTGCTTTGTTAGGCGTATATGGTTGCGTAGTAATGTACACCTGCGCAACACATATATACGTGTACACATGGATGGATGTCCATCCCTAATCTGAGCGCACTGCAAAGGTGATGCCACACACTGGTGAGTCAAGGCTACGCTGGAGTGAGTCCCCTAATGCGTTCAATTATCTTCTCGTCGAATGATTTGTCCCGTATTTCGTCTCCTGTCTGGGTAGGGAAAAGAAACATATATATATGAACACAAAAAAGGGTTGCTCCGTAGTGGGGAGAAGTCTGTTCTCAAGTCGAGAAGGGAATTGTTCTACCCACGCGAATATAAACGAGTTCATCCTTCTTACATTGTAAAGTGGATTCAGGATGATGAACTCGAGGAATATGGTTTTGTATATGTCTCTTAAAAAGTGAGACAAATTCGGGGTGCTCTTGTGAGTGATTATAACAAACTTGTAGGCTGCAATTTTGTGGGGAAGGCAGAAAATGCAGGGTTTTGTGCGATGCGATGAGACAGGATAATATGACGGTGGAGGGCATTCCCAATGATGTGTGCTACACACACGTGTGGTGCTCAGATGCATGACCCAACTAATAACCGAGATGGGTGTGCGCCCCAACTAACCTGTTAGCGTTTCGAAGTAGTGCAGCTTGTAAAAGGGGGTGTTGAAACAATTAAAATTGCCGACGTGTAGGTTGTCCTGCGTGTTTGTAATATTTTGGTTATGGGTTTTTAAACTGTGGTTCATATTTTTATTAACATTCTGCATGGACTTGTAAAGATTTTTTAATTTCTTGTTTGGTTGTATGTTGAAGCAGAGGTAGTTCAGAGCATAGATCGATCCTAAGAGGAGTTTCTCCTTTTCGACTTTGTTTGGAGAACTCGTTTTTTCTCTTTCCTCATTTTTTAAATCAATGCTATAGATGCACTGATTTTTGAAGAATATGTAGAGGTAGTAGTACTCGCGCGCGGCGTCCTGGGGGTCAGCGCCCTTCTCGTGCGACATGGTTTATAGTGGCACGCTGGTCTGTGCCGCTACGATGGTCTGATTTCCCCGTCCCCTGCGACAATACTTGTGGGGAGCTTCAAACCAGGATAACTGTTCTGGTATATTTGCGCACCTCTCTAGTTGATCCCACAGGACGGGCACATAAAAATGTAAATATGTGTGGTTAGTTTCAGTCCAACGCGGGGGACAAGTTTAGCAATTGGTCCCATTCCCGTCGTTGGGGAAAATTACCTATTTTTTTTTTTTTTTACTGTCACGATTTTTTTTAAAAAAAATAATATTATGTGGAAGAAATTTAGCTTGGCGAGGCAATCCACATAGGTAAGTGACATTCGAGGAGAGAAAATGAGCACAGATTGCAGAATGGGTAGTACACAAGTTCCTACGTAAAAGAAACAAAAGGGGATGAGTAACAAATAATTCTGGGCATGGGGGTTGCATGTGCGTAAGGTGCGGGGGTGAGGACCATGCCACGTTAGGAGGAAAATGATGTGAAGGGGTGGCTACTGGCCAAGTAGAGAGAGGTAGGTGTGAACTGGTCAGTTACATGTAAAGAAGATCGCCTGGGTGTACAGACTAAGGGGGGGGGACAATTGCGACACAGCACACAGGGGTGAGCGGGTGAACTATAGTTAGCCAATAAAAAGACGTCTGATCGACCAAGCGCGTGGGTGACGTACAACACAGGACACCGCACTTGTTCCTGTTTTACCTCCATACCGAAGCCGGGGCCTCCAGGAAGATTTAAAAATGTGGTCACAGTTATATTCTCGGTCAGGTTGAATATCTTTTTTTTTTTTTTTTTTTTTTTTTTTGGTGCACTTATTTTGGAAAGTACGCCAAGCGCAAGGTCACAATTGACGCACGCGGAGAAGAAAAGAAAAAAGAAAAAAGAAAACGAGGACTGGTGCGACATGAATGGGAAGTGAATAGGAACCGCATGAGAAGCGAGCAAGAATGAAAGATCGGTATAGTAGCGCTCAGCGAAGTGGCAGAGAACCACAAAAGTTACCCGCTGCAAAAAAAACCATGCATTTGAAGGAGGACGACGGGAGAAAAAAGGATGACACTGTCGCAGAGGCAGGAGCCGCCAAGTCAAAACGGGAACCACCCCTCACGAGCCAAAATGAAGAAATGATGGAGAGCAATGATGACCCAGATAGTTCCAGTGTATATGACGACACGGTTGAAAAAAATATAAATTTTTCGGAGAGCATACTTGCTAATCTGAATGACAACATTTTCGAGCAAAACGATGCCTTTAAGAATGAGAAGCTAGAAGGAAACCTGTTCATGCTGCATGAAGAAATGGCGAATGGAAAGAAGTTAGATGTTCACCCCATGGGGGAGAGAACTAGTAGTGCTTCTTCTTCCTCTTCTATTCATGTGCATGATGGAAGAGTGTCCGTGTTGTCCAAGGATGAGTCCGCTGGGGGAGGGGAGCCTGTAGGACAAAGGACAGAAGCAATGTCACGCGCTGGATGGAAGATCCCGTACAAAGGGCATTCCGAATCTACAAACTGGGGAGCGTTAACCAAGCACGAGGTCGGAGAGGAAGAAGGAGTAATGACTTCCCATATGGAACAGCCAAGGAAAAACAACACAGCGGAGGGAAGCGAGAAGGAAAAGTTTGTCTTGCCAATTAGGATGAGCAGAACAAGTTGGGGCAAAGAAAAGGTATCAGCAAATGCACATGATGAATACAACCATAACGTAATATATCACGAATTGTACGTGGAGCTGTTACAGGTAAATAAAGGTCTGCAAAATGAAATTAAAAACCTGAAGAAGATAATCGAGATGCAGAAACATTTGATTAAGAGTAGGCAAGACTTATTTGGTAGTAGTTGTCATATGAATGAGAAAAACAAATTTAGTAGCAAAAAATTTGTACACAATAATTATTTTTTAAATTTTTTTAATAAAAAAAAAAAAAAAATTAAAGAGAATTTTGTCCATGTGCCAACTGGGTCAAGGGTAGAGAGAGCGTCCGTGGCCACCTCCTCCTATGCGAGTGTCACAAACAATGAAGAGATGGAGGAGAATGAAAAGGATGGTGTGTTCTGGGATGAAGGGTGGAAAGGACCCAGTCATAGGAAGAGTTCTCATGAGGCACATAAGAATGGGGATAAAAATGGACACCCCAAATGGGAAGGCATGGACAACAACAGTGACGGCGTTGGCTACTCAGAGGGGGATATGAACACGATGGATAATAAGGAGGACATGAAGGATCATAAAAACGAGTACGTGCAGCTTCCGCTGAGTGAGAACGAGGGCTCGATCCCGTCGGACAACGCCAGCGGCGGCGCCGGTTGCGACGACAACCACAGTGACAGTCATCGAGACAGCCTGCGAGACAGCCTGCGAGACAGCCTGCGAGACAATAACAGCCGTACCTCCGTGTCCGCTAGCAACCAGGGGAGCTACTTCTTCAAGCAGGGAAGCTACGGGTCGTTGCGTGGGCGAAGCCAAGGCGGAGGGCAAAAGAGCTACGAGCACGGCTACCAAGGGGGAAAGAAAGCGGACACAGAAACAGAGTCCAATGAAATGCCCGTCAATGTAGAAGAAATAACAGCAGTGACATTATGGTACGAAGAAATTCTACCTCTGGTGAACAATGAAAAAAAAAAAAAAACTCTCATCGATCTTATGATTAGCAATTACATGCCCACTGTTATTAAAACCTATTTTTGGGAAGTCAATATCATCAACAAGCTAAATATAACAGACTACTTTGTGCAAATTTTAATTAAGAACACCAACTTTATCCAGTCCTATGTGTACACGAATAACAAGCAGTACCATAACCATGTCACTAGGTACTTCAAGTCGTTAATGACGTTTCGTAATAGCAACCTTGGCGGGGTGCAGGCGGATGGACCTCCTATGGGTGAAGATGCGGTGGGGGAGAAGCTGGGCGAGAAGCCAACGGAGGGGGACGCGGCGCAGGAGAAGTCGAAGGAGAACGCGGCAGAGAAATCGACCGAAGACACGGCGAAACGCACGGAGGAGGATAACTGCACTGCCGGGCTGAACCTCTTCCAGCGCTTCTCATTTCAGAAGTTCTTCTACCAAATTTTGATTGACCTGGATAGAACATTATACATAATAAAAAAAAATCAGGAGTACTTCAGAAAGCACGGCGTAAGTACGGAGACGTTTCTGTTGACACTGGATTTGGCGGAGACCAAGGCGAAGCTGAACACACTGCTGCAGATGTACGTTGTGTTTAAGCCGGAGTTGGGGTAAGACAGTGGCGACGTAGGGGATTACTACCTTTGCATATGCGCATCATTGTTGAGGAAGCGGCATCTTCAAGCTGCAAATTTGCTGAGATACACACACCATCACCTTCTTTCCCGTAGGTACGTGCAGGGGATGTCCTACATCGCTCTGGTGTTTCTCCTGTATTGTAACTTGGAGAAGGCCTTCGTGCACTTTGCTAACTTTATGGTAAGAGGGGCGGAGCTTCGTCAGGCGCGGTAGCGCGCTTTACCGTGTTTTCCGCGCAATGAGGGTTAGACGGGATTAGGGTATATCGCTGATGCAGCCATGGCGAAGTATGCCCGCGCAGTATGCCCGGACAAAATGCCCCTAACAAAATACCCTCGCAAAATGCCCTTAATGAAATAGCCTAACAAAATTCCCCTTCCCCCCTATCAGGAGCGAAAGGACATTTACAACCTGTACACCTTCAACAACAACGAAATAAAAGTCTACACCTACATCATCAAGGAAATATTAACCAAGCAAAATGTGGAAATATACAAGGAGATCGCCAAGCAGTATAATATTGATAATATTTTCATTCAGTGGATCTACACCATCTTTTTGACGTAATATGAAAACATTTTTTTGCATGTTCAGTGTGGAGTGTGTGCTTCATTTTTTGCTGTCATCCCGTTTTTCCATTCTTGTGGGGGGGAGTCTTCGCAAAGGGGACTGACCCATTTTAGTAGTCAATCTAGATAGAGGCGTCCATTTGTTGAAACGGATATATATATATGTGCACATTTTTCCCCCCCTTTTTTTTGCAGGTGTCTTCCTTTTCACATTTTCATTCGCCTATTCGACATATACCTTTTTAATGAAAAAATAATTTACGAGGTAATTGCAAAAATGTGTCCCAATTTGTGTATTTTTTTTTTTTTTTTTTTGTTGTTTTTTTTGGAGGGGCGAGAGTGGCACTGCTTCTCCTATCCATGTAGATGACCTTTGGCGACACCCTTTCTATTGATGTATTATGTCATATGAGCGGATTAGCTGCTCCTTTTAATGTCATTATTCATGTTCTCATTTTCCTGCTTCCTAATACCCCCCCTGCAGACCATCCTGTGTATCTTCACCTACTTCAACAAATTTCACCACGTGGAGAATGTGGACGTCGTCGTGAAAAATTTGTCCGCCTTTTCGTTTAATACCCACATCCAGGTAACCAGCTCGGGCGCAATCGGGAAAAGAAAAAAAGAGCAAACACTACAGTCACTACGACATTGTCATGTTGGTGCGGGTTACCATTCTGATTGCTAACCCAAATCGAAAACACCGATCGCCCTCACCAACTTGTCACCAACTTCTCAACTTCTCCCCCCCTCAGGAGGACAAATTCTGGTCTCTGTTGAAGAAGTCCAAAATTAAAAAAAGGAAAATTCTTTACTACCGGGAGAAGTACTTCAAAGGACAAAGTAGGGTTTTGCATTGAGTTTGCCGCATCGCGGTGTTAAGCGAGTTTTCACCTGGTTAGTGGTCTACCAGGTTCACTTCACGCTGGACCTGTTCACATTTTAATAATACATATCCTCACCCCTCAGAACACGTTTTAAATGAAAAGTAAATGCGGCTGTCCAAGAGAAGAGGTGCTAACTGCTCTGGTTGATTGGCTAGTGCTGGCATCCAGTGTGTTGACAATAGGATATACATTCCATTCCGCTTTTTTTTTTTTTTTTTTTTTTTCAACCCATTTGTGTAGAAGCGGCTAGCAGGGATTTGCATTTGCCTGTCTCTGTGTGCAGCCGTCGCGTATAATAGACAGTTTTTTTTTTTTAATTGCACCTCCAGAGGAGGGGTTGCAAACATTTTCACCGTACATACGTATATATTAGTATATATGTGTTTTTTTTTTTTCTTTTTTTGAACTCCCTTTTGTAACACATTATTGATGATTCGTTTTCAATTGAGCTGGTTGAATGCGCCTGCACCGTTTGCGCATGCGTTATGTGGGTATCAATGGTTATGTCTTTGTGGAGAAAGTACAACTGCTGGTCATACTAGGCTCCTTAAGCAACCCCATGCTCCCTTCTTTTTCTTTTTTGTACATTAGAGAAGGGGTAGAAGTAGGGATGAGGTAGTACATACTATGAGTGGGGGTGGTGGTCGGCAAAATGGGCCAAAAATAAGATTGTAGAACGAATTTGGAAAACAAAAAAAAAAAAAAAAAAAAAAAATGGAGAAGTGGCTGGAAAGCCACCGTTATGCAAAAGATAAACAAAACGAATTTAAAGTAAATGATTTTTCTTTGAGGATGATCGGATAAGAAAATACATGCAGTGTGAACTAAAAAAGGGGAAAAGGTGCGTTGTTGTGTTGGAAGTGGTTAGGCGGGAAATTACGCATAGGTTGTTTGTGTTAGCCGAAGGCACTACTCCTTCTTGACCCTGTCCTTAAAATTAGATGTGAGGAAGAAAGAGTAATCAAAGTAGTCCACCTTCTTCTCCTCCTGTTCCTCCTGTTCTATCTTTATAATATTCCTGGAGGGGATGCAGTTTGCATATTTCTCGATGAAGTTTACAAACGACAGGAGGTTCCCATAAAAACGTATGTACTCATTCACCTAAGGGGAAAAAAAAATTAGCAGTTCGACAGTGTAAGGACGTATAACTGAAAATTATTTCAAATATATACCCACGCGATGAAGTTCTTTAAACTCATTATGCTTTCCACAACTCGGAGAAGACACCCCGAACTCGGTGAGACCTCTTCTCCGTTTTACAGAGTGCGGCAAAAACAATTCCTACCGTTTTCAACTCCTTGTGGAGGTCCAGGTATAAGGGAATCAAATGGCTATATTCAAATTCTTTATCGCTGCGGGGGTCGTCCGTACCAGAAGTATGAGCAGCAGCACCATTAGTAGCAACCGGATCGCCGTTTTCATCGTGTGCACCATGTTGGGGGGTCACGTGGATGGCTCCTTCCTCCTCATTGTTATTTTTTTCTGCCAAATATTTCTCCACTTGGTAATACTCCTCCTCTACTGTTTTGTAAATGTAATCGATGTTGGCGTACTGCTTAAACTCTTCTAGGTAGTACTTGAAGCGGACGATTAGGAAAATGGAGAAGCAGTTGAACTTGGGCAGCTTTAGGTTTCTGCGATGATGGGGGAGTAAGAAGCGGTGCGCGCTATTAAACAGACTGTTTCTTTTGGGGGCGACTCTACAGCAGGTGCACACAAATGTGTAAATGCTCTCCACCGTGGGAAGAAACAAAACGGTAAGCACACCGCGCATGGGAGATCTGGTTTGCTCTATTGGTGCACTCCCCGTTGTGTAAAAGGGAAGACGACACTAGGGCTTCTTTTTTTCCCCCGGCGTTACCTGTTCTGCATGAGAGTGAATCGTGTGAGGGCCTTCCAAGCGCTTTCTCTTTCGTTTTCGCTTTCGCTTTTATTTTCATCGAACTGGATGAGGCCATAAATATTCGTCTCGTTGATGTAGGAGGAAATGTCCACCCTGATTAGTCTTTCAAAAGAGATTTTATTTTTTATTTTAAAGTTATGTATATCTAGGTCGTATATCAAATCAAGGGAGAGGAAGAAATTTTGAGCGTTCTCCTTCACGATATTGTCATACTCCTCGCTGAGCATTTCTACTTCGTTTTTTCCTTCCGCTACTTCGTTTGGACCAGGATAGAGGCTCCCCTGAACTGCTTCCCCTGCAGGAGTCACAGCAGTTAGGCTATCTAACAAATGCGTGAAGTCTACAAAATCATCAACACGTTCGAACAGATACCCACTCAATGATGAAGGAGATGCCACTGTGAAGTTGTAGTTGAGTCGGATGTATGTCTCTAGAATCAAGTATAATCGATCGAGGAAGAGAAAAATGAAAAAGTTTACAATGTACAGGTCTAGTGTGTTAATATTAGTAAACTGAGCTAGCCATTTAATAAAGTTTTTTTTTTTATACTTAAATAATTTTTCCCTCATGTCACAATATTTTTCATATTCCTTCTGATTTAAGCTTCCCGACAGGAGGCTCCTAAATCGAATTCTATAATCGAACCTTCTTCCATCATACAGGTTTTTTAAAATTTGGTTCATGTCTTTTTGTTTACAGAATTGGTAAACTGTGTGTTCTCTCTTTATCTTTTTATTTAGGTAGTCCTCCATCTCTGTCGTTTTGTCTGCCTCCTCTTCATCCTCGTGGCATTTGTTATAATCGGGGTCTTCTGGCTCCGTTTTGATTAACACATTGGGGTATGTTGCGGTTGAATTGGCGCCGCTTGGGTTAGACGCGGTTTGACTGTGTGTAGGCCCATTGGCGGTGACTTCACCTTGGGGACTTTCCACAGCAGGTGCGCAACTCGCACTGGGGAGAGAGCACTCGAACGAACTGGGTGGCGTGCCATTATTCTGCGCATCGCCATCCAGGCTTGCATAACTACAGCTGTGTGTGCGGAAGGGATCGGTGTTAGCCGATTTATCTGATTGTGTGCCCATTTTTTGGCTTCCGAGTTGGGGAGCATTCACGTTGTTCTCATCACCCCATGGGTGGTGCACTTGTCTTGGTCTCCCATATGTTGCCCCCGCGTCACTCATGGTGGTATTTCCACTTCCAGCGTTCATTGCATTTCCTGAGTTGACAACAGTGAGCACATTTTCAGAGGCGCTGAAATCTTTGTTCCATCTCATGTTATATATGTCTTGGAAATTTTGAAACTCAAAGGGGAAGAGCTTCTTCAGGAATATGAGGAGGTTCTTATTTTTTGAGTCCCTTTTGCTATATTCGAATGAAAATTTTTTAAAAATGACATGACAGAGTATATTCATATATAGGTGGAGACCTTTCACGAAATCGAAATTGTCTTTTAGTTTGTAAATGCGTAATATTCTGGCAATGTAATTTTTTAAATTTAGATCGTACTTGACCTGAATGGGTTAATTCATGTGCATGTGTATGTGTGCATGTGTGTGTGTGTGGGGGGGGGCATGTACAATGGGTTTTTATTTATTTTAATTTGCACATATGGCTGCTTCACTCATACGGGAGTTAATTTTTTCTTACATTGGTGTAGTCGATTAGAATCTGATGTCGGTGGTGACTGCTACTTTTGGCCTTAACCTTCTCGATATCCTTTTCAATCCTCTTTTCAACTTTAATGTTGTTGATTTTGTTGACTGCAAAAAAGGGGGGGGGGGGGTATTCCCACGGGGGAGTGACATGGAGAAGCACAAATGTACACACGCTCAGACATGCTTACGTCAATATAACTGCTTTTAATGAACTTACGGGAATTTTTATTTTTCTTCCTTATGTAAAAGATTAATCTCCTCTTCTGGTCTTTTGTTAAGTGTTGCATCATCTCAGCCCACTCCCTTTTGTTTTTGTTTTTCAAGCTGAGGTAGATACTCTTAATTCTGTCCTCATCGTCCATTTTGTGAACTTTTTTTTTTTTTTCCTTTATTTTGTTGTGTTTGCCCTGACTTGGGCGAGGGTGGTATGCTCGACAGGGCTACTCACAATCGGACGCTTGCGACGCGTGTGTGAGAGCATCTCCAATTATTGCATTTGAGCTAATGGGGGTTATAAACAGTTCGTGGGATTTTTCCTGCGTGTTTGTGGTTAGAGGGTCCTATTTTCCAAGGTAGAGGTGTGACGGGAGGGGGGAAATGAAGCCACCCAACGTGGGAAATCAACAAGCTGAAGAGTTAGTTAACAACTTGGTTGTTATAAAATGGCCAAACAGGCTGCCGAACAAACACATGTGGCTGAATAACCGAATGACGTTTCAAAATGGCGCTTAACCTTGGAGGGGGTTCTCCGTCACGCAGCTGCGCCGTGCAGTGGAAAAAAAAAAACAAAAAATGGGCCCCCAAATTGATGATTTAACAGGCTCAGCTGGGTAGCGGTTAACGTGCTTATTGGCTAACCGCTTACAAGTGGGAGGGTTAAACAATTATGCAAAATGAAGTGAAGCCGAGTGCCTGCCGCAGCTGCACATATGCCTCCCCCCCGGGGGTGGGCACAAAATAACTCACCGCACATGTGTCCTGCTTTTGAACCAACGCATGTTCATACAAGAGCCGGTGCGGGTACACACCCAAATGCGTGCATTTGTGTATCTTTCGAGAAAGAGAGAAAAAAAAAAAAGGAAATATATTTTTTGGCATTCTCACTTGGTTTTCTCTTATAAATTAAAGTTCACATGTTTAAGTGGATGTGAATTTACTAGGGGGCAGCTTTTTAAACAATTAAAAAATTGCATCGTTGTTTTGTTCACTCGTTTTTTTAGTCTTTCAGGAAGGGGCTTAGCCATGTGTATGGTATATACTGCCCATTCCCCTATCGTTATATAAAATGTGTGTATGCTTAGCTGCATCCAAGTGGGTGATTATTCAGAGGGCCCTTCAACTGCGGTACCATCTGATGCCGTTCTCCATCGAGTTATTCTTAGTCCATTTTTTGTGTCGCCCCGCAAAGTACACCTCAGCAGCGTGTTTCACTTAATGTGCCGTTTTCCACACTTTTTTTAAAATTTAAAAAAAGACCTTTCATGGGATAGAGAGGTTGATATTTTTTCTTTCGTGGGGAACACCTTGAAGAGGAACAATTATTGTCACAAACGGAAGAGAACATTTTCATCGTCGCCGTTGCCGCAAAGGAAAAAAATGTAGAGTCGTAAGGAGAAAAAAAAAAAGGATTTATTCAAAATGGACATAATCAACATTGGAGAGTTGTTGGGGAAAAGCGCCAAGGCGCCGATGCACACAAATTAAGAAGCGTCCCTATAGAAAAAAGCATACAACACATGTGTAAATTCAAAAAAGGAAGCAGAAAAAAAAAAAAAAAAATTGCATCAAAAATTGGCACGCACGAAAAGCAACAAAAAATACCATGTTTTATATTATTCTCATAATTCACGTAAAAAAAAAAAAAAAAAAAAGAATTGTACAAGAGTTAAAAACTTTTTTTTTTTGCACATATTGGGGGAAAGAAAAGTCATCCTACGGGTGTTCACATAAAACGCCAGGGACGCTCGTGATATGTGACATTAAAGACGAGCTAAAAAAAAAAAAAAAAAAAATGCACACAAAAAGTATAAAATCCGTGTACAGAAATGGTGTGCAAACAAACAGTAGTGGCAGATTTGTTCGTCCACAAATATTGGCTTTCTCCCTTGTGGGGGGTAGAGCCGCTTTATGGGGCTGGACATCGGTTGGCTGCTTCGCGGGGAGTAACTTTAAAACGGTGTGGTTGTTCTGTTCCCATTTCTTCACACTTTTCTCACCACATTTTTCAATTTTCCCCCCTTTTCACAGTTCATCCGAGTTGTTGAGGAGATTGTTGAGAAAACTCTCGTACCACTTATTGTTGATGGTGAGATTCTTAAGCTCCTCAGGGTCAATATTCATGCCCATGAAGTTGGTAGCCTTTTGTAACATTTCCAAGTGGGCTTGGCTATTGCCGATGTTGACTTCGAGCTTAGGCTTTGTCGCACCATCAGCGTCTTTAACTTCCTTAATTTTAATTTCATCCATGAGTGTCTTTGCAATATCGCTATTGTTTGTGTAATCGATGAATTTCATCATCCCAATGAGTATTTGGTTTAATTTATTTTTGACTTCCTCATCTTGTAATTTTTCTTTTTTTATTTTCATAAGCTCTGCTAGTTTTTCTAGCATTTGTGAATGTCCTTCTATATCCTTAATGATATCATCAATGGATTTTTTTTCATCACTGTTTTCATTGTCTTTCATTTTTTGTATTGTTTTTCTGAGAAATGTTTTGACCATTTTTTTTTCCGAAGTTTCATTTTTGGAACTTAAAAGATCTTGCAAGTACAAATAAAATTTTATCATTTCTTGAAGATCATTAGGATTTATTAAATTGTTAAAAAAGTTCTGACTGTGATACATCATATCTTGAGCTAATTTATTTTCCCCTTTATTTTTTGCATAATTGTTATTGTTCATGTAGTTGCCACTTGCTCCATCCTTTTCATTGTTACTGTATATTTTTTTCAATTCGTTAAATAGGGCATTCGCTTCCTCCAACTTGTTTTCGCTTATGAGTTTTTTTATTTTTTCGAGTTCATCGTAGTTGAACAAATCCTGCATGTTCGTATTTGCTCCGGCGTTTTGGCTTTTGGCTTTATTTTTGCCTTCGTTTTTGATGGAGTTCATGGCATTCTTCTTGTCCCCGTGGACGCTCACAATGGCGAGGCCAAACAGGGACAAACTGGCGTAGAAGAGAACTTTCATTGTGTGTGGGGGGGCGGTGTGATGTGCACGAGCGGTGGAGTGATGCGTTTACTTTACGCGTCTATTGCACAGAGCTATTCTGCGTGTGCCTTCTTTTCTTTTTTTTTTCGTCACCTGTACTATACCTCCTTAATAGCTGGCGGTATGACTGGATGTAACCAAAAAAAAATACAGCGAAAATTTCTGAAACGGAGAAATATGAACAATTTTGAAAAGCTCAATAAAAAGGGAAGCAAAATGGAGACACAAAAATAACGCTCAATTTAAAATTCGTTAAGAAGGAAAGAGGGGAAAAATCGTTGCCTCCTTTCTGTCTGCAAGAACAGATGGGTGTTTCTCCACTTAAAAAAAAAATTATACGTGAGAGTAAGTTGTTCCCTCCCCGTCTGTTTACATACACAGTATGGGTAAAGGTCGGCTGTTTTTTTGGCCTCCGTTGTGCGCATTCGCTGAAGTCCTCTTCTGATGATATGCTCGCTTAGCAATGCGTCAGATAAATAATCCTCGATAAATTAAATGTTCACTTTTGAGCAGGTAAAAAAAAAAAAATACATATAAATGCTGTAAGATCAGTTTATATGAACAAAAGTACATATGTAAAAGTAAGCACTCTGTGTCAACATGTGGCACAATGGGAAAAAATAGCCATGCCTTTATATTTTGTAACCAAAAAATTAGGCAAAGTGGAAAAAAAAACAAAAATACTTATGTACAGGAAAATTTCGCAACTTTTTTTTTCCTTCTTTTGAGAAGAAAATTGGCATCTATTCAAACTTGAGCGTTTGGGATATTCGCAAGGTTTGATCATTATATTTTTTTTATTTTATTTTATTTATTTTTGTTTTTTTTGTCAACATGAGGGTTGAAGAAAAAAGGACTCATCTCAATGGATGCAGGAAATGCGCTTGGGCCGAACGCGTGGACCAGAGGCGTGAGAAATACACTCATCATACGCATAGTACACTAAACGCTACATTACGCGTACATGCATGTATACATATGCACATTTGCATTGCTCACGTTAACAGGCATACACTGCTGTTTCTCCTCCTTCGCCATTGATATATATAGGGGCAAGCAAACAAGGCCATTTAAAGGCGAACTAATTTGACGCATGCTCAGAGAATAACTTGGGGGCACGGCTCTTCCACCGTAGGCCTGCATGCACAAGTGGATGTTGTGCGCGGTCAAGTACATGTAAAATTTCCGCACGCAAAATATATATATATATATATAAAGGTAAGGGTTATGTATATTATTATAGCCTAAGCGCGTAAACCTTTTTAAGGAGGTATATTTATTTTTTTTATATGTGCTTATTAACACAGGGGCTTTAGGGAACCGCCCGGCTTGGATATGTTTTTGTGCAGCAATTTTTTACATGCCCATGGGAGAGGAGCACAACAAATGATACATTATCATATGCGCAAAGGAAGAAAAAAAAACAGCCTTTTTTCGTTCACTTATTGGCCTTTCAATGGTGCAACGGCCCCGATCCCTTCTTGCCCGCTTGTGTTTCTTCCCCGTTTCATTAAAAAAAAATTCGTGAATGGGATATAGCAACCGCGGCAATGTTACAAGTATAGTAGTATTTATATGGGTTGCATGTCCCCTAAGGGGACAGTGCGCAGCACGGTGGGTTTAGCGCCGGTAGGGGTGAAAAATGGAAGGTGTCGACTTGAGTATATTATAACCCCAAGCAAAGTAGTAAAAATACAAAGCCCGCATATATTTGTTTTATATATAAAACAGAATGCACTGGGGGCGTATATTTGCCTGTTTGTTCTTTCTTTTTTGTGGACTTTTTCTTCCATATGTATTTAGTAAGTATATGCTCAATAGAGCAGCAGAAGGAGGTATATATCCACCTGCTACATGGCGTAGGCCAGCCCATTTTTGTTTTTTACGGGTCACCCCATCTATAAGAAACCGTTTCGCTCAAATTAAAAGTATGTATGCAATATGTTTTTATACCCCCCGAGGGGCGTGGGGCAAAATAATTCGCGTATTTTTTTATATATACTCTTACGTTTGAAAAGATTCCGCTGTATTCTTGATTGGGGGAGGAGGGGATCGGGCCGATTATTCCCGTCAAAGTCGGCATTAATTGGAATCCAAAGTAAATGTACAAACAAGGTGCCGCATATGGCACAGTGGCTAAAGAAAAGAGCAGGAAAAATTAGAAAATACAAATAACATAAAAATCCTTCATTCAAGCATACCGATGAACATATTAAAACGGAAGTATTTTAAGCCGTATTTTTTGCGACATTTTTTTTTATTTTTTCTCCCTTTTCGCGCTGCCAAGCCTTTAATTGCAAATAGTGTTTTTGGTTCACACCTAGGCGGCTCTGCATATCAATATAAAATTATTCTTGAAAAAGAAAAAAAATGGTAGATTTTTTTTTTTTGTAAACCAAGGTATAATTATGTCAAAAATAGTATTATTTGTTGATGAGAACAAAAATCCGCTACTTTTTTTTCATTTTCTCAAAAACAGCGCTTTACGTATGCATATATAGATAAAAAAAGGGTAACCTTTTTTTTTTTAAAAGCTTATTTTTTATCGTTTTTTTTATTGTACATATGACAGTTTTTTTTTTGAATTCCATAGCATTTATTTTTTGTTGCAGTTAATTGTTAGAGGCTTCCCACGATATAAAAAAAGAAAAAAGTTGATTAATTTTAACTTTTTCTGAACAACGTTAAAGGGAATAGCGTAATATATTTTTTAACCATTTTGGTTTTATCATAATTTTGACAAGCCCTGCTATATCATTTATACGCGTCGTAGGCGAATTCGACCTTTCCATTCGTTTTGCGTGTTCGCTCAAAAAAGGGTATTAGGAGGGAAGTTTATATATGTTTCTCCTTTGCCTGCTATTTGTTGACGGACTTAGTGGCTAAGCGTTTGCTGGGGCTACACGCATATGTGTGTATGCATATGTACCTCTGTTGATTGCAACGTAATTCAGCCCGCGGCCGTACTGTACCGTAGGACATATATATATAAATTATATATACCGAACAAACACATATGCGCCAGCTTGGTAAAAAAGAAGAAAAAAAACAAAAACAAAAACAGACATTCTGAAAGGTCCCCCCCCCCAAAAAAAAAAGAGAGAATGATCTGAGCTCAGTACACGTTTTTTTGTACGACGTCCCCGTAATTTTGTTAAAAGTTGTCTCAGTCCCATTTTGAAGTTTTAAAAAAAAATAGTAATTTTCAATGAGAAGGATACACAAAATATTTGCCATATTTCTTTTTTTAATTGTCTGTTGTTTGATAAAACCGAGTACGGTTAGGGTACATTGTGAAAGTATAAATGATGATGAAGATGCATACGCAAGGACATTAAAAGAAGAAAACTTCAGCGAGGAGTTTATAGCCCTGTTTGACAACAAGGATGTGCGTATATTGATAGAAAAATTAATTTTAGAAGAACATGTAAAATACTACATTAGCAATGTGAGGAAAAGTGATCAGAATATAATTAAAACAATTGAGAAAGTATTGGTAAGGGAATTTCCCTCGACCATTGGAATTAAAGGAGAGGCTGTGAAAAATGAACTATTGAAATTTTTAAGCATTATATTTACACAGAAGGAAGATATAGTGAAAGAATTTTTCGATAAGTTTAATAATAACTCTTTTGACATTGGTGTGAATTATCGTCATTTTGAGAACAAATTTTGGGGCGAATATGAAAATATTGAAAATTTAAAAAAAAGCTATTTTTCTACTTTTAATGAAGCAAGTGAATCGCTGAATAGCACTAGGGTTAGTGAAGATAACCAGAGCAGTTTGAATTTTATTGACATTCAGAATAAAATACTTTCCAATGTAGCATCCCTTAAGGACACCTTGGCAAATTTAAAAAGCGGAGTGGTTTCTCTGTACAATATAAACTATGGATTGAATGAGTTGAAGAATGAGGTAGATGTGTATATTTCAAATTTTCGAAATGAGCAGCAAAGTTCGGAGAGTGCATGGGTCAGTACAGATTCTGCAAATGCCAAGGATAGGGATGTGATGATGTTGAACTTGGTGGAGGATGTTGCGTCCAAATTGATGTTCAATTTACGAACAAAAATTTCCAGCACGAGAGATGAACTTGAAAAACGTCTGACCACTTTAGAGAAGGAACTAATGGACATGTGCAATGAAATCACTCAGTTGGGCAGTGAGGAGGATGTTCTCCGATTCTCCATCATAAAGAACGACAGCTTTCTCAACATTGAAAGTATTCGTAGTGAGTATGAAGAGTATGTGAATAAAAAGGAGAGTGGCGAGGAGGTTGTGGATGACGCCAGTGATACTAATGATACGGACGAGGAGTCTGTGTTCGAGAAAAACCTGAAGCTGTTGGCCAAGCATTCCATCTGGTTAAAGGAGCAGGACCCGTCCTCGTACTGCGCGAGGGATGATATATCGGAGGTTTTGAAAAATTGCTTTAACCTTGTGGAGAAGCTGAGGGACCAAATTGTACAAGAGAATTTCCATTTACTAATGAAATATGAGAAGCTGTACAAGGTGCTGAATAAGTTTTTGTACCAAGCGAGAAGCAGCAGCATGGAGGTGTCGTACCTGAAGGCATGGAACTCGATTGAGAATTTCAAAGGAGCTGATATCCTGCTAAACGGAGTTGACAAATTCCTGCGCATCGTTACTTTGCTCACACACATGATTAAACTTTTTAAAGAAGCGAATAAAAATATGAGCGCTGATGTATTTTCTAACCTGAATATATTAAATGATGGATTCAGCAATGCGGCAGATAAAGTAACTTTATTCAAGATGGAGCTAGGTGAATTAATGCACCGTCCCTATAGCTTACAAGTTATAAAAAATAATATTGAAAAATTTGGTCATGTGTATAAGGATAATATTGCCAAGATGGAGGTGATTACAAATTCTTATGATATTGCTTCTGAAAACATGCATTCCGAGATTGATGAATTTTTAAAAATTGTGAGTAACATGATTCAGGCAGACAATTTAATTAGCGAATTTAAACAGCTTAGGAGCATGTGGAAGGAACACGTGAATCAGACGTTGGATGAACTAGATGAGAAGAACATGTTACTGTCTAGTGCGTATAAAGGAAACAGACATATAGTTTTTCCCCCTGAGATTAACGTTTCTAGAATGAACTTCTTGCGCAGTGGAGGGATTAGAAACTCGTTGAAAAATATTGTGAACCGTTCTTTTGGCGGTACAGGGGAGTATAGTGAGGATTCCATTAGCAATAGCACGTTGGAGTCACCGTACTTTTTGAACCTATACAAAAACGTGATGAACAAATTAGACTCGGTGAAAGAGGAGGACGAAATGAGAAGCATTTTTTCTGTTATATACAGATCGACGGACATTATTGTAGAGATAATTAAAGACAAGAGAAGTCAGATAAACAAAGAGTACAACAAGAAGCGTAACGCCATTATCAATTTGATTAATTATAGAAATGACTCGAGAGCTGACTTGACCAATGTTTATAACAAATTGATTGAGCTGGAGGGGGAGTTGGTTAATAATTTACGAATACTGTTTTTAAATAAAGTGAATTTAAATAAACAAGTGGACAATTCTGTGGAGATGACCAAGGTGGAGCTCTTCAAGGACAAGTTGCCTCAATACTGTATCGTGGTGGAACAGTTCATTACGAAATATTTCCTCACCATGGCGAGATGGAAAAATCTCATAAGGAACAACAGGAGTTTATTCCCCCCCGAGTTGATATCGAATGTTGTGGAGTAGTGGAAGGCACAGACAGGAAAAAAGGGAACCAGCCGCTATTAAGGAGAGGTGAAGAAGGGTTGTGGACACCCAGGGCAGAATTTGTACATTACACATGGATAACACATTCACGTGTTTGCATATGTTGTGTACATTTGATGTACGTGTGGCTCACTAGCCCAAGTGTTCTGTCTCGCGAGAAATTCATCCCGAAGGGTACAAGGTGCAGGAGAAAAAAAAAAATAAAATAAAGGCGAAAAAAAAAATAGAAAAGGAACAATTATATACATAGAAGAAAATAAACCGATGTGGAAGAAAACGATGCTGTTCTTATATTGTGTATCATTTTAATAGCATTTTTTTTTTTTTTTTCCTGTCCCTGGAAGCCGCTTCGGAGTTAACCGCTGTATGCAGCTGAAGTGCCTTGCACCGCCGTTGGGCCCCCTTCCGCGTTCTGGCGCAACACTTTTGTTTTTGTAAATTTTTTTGGCTATATATGTATTCATATATATGTGTTAACCGTTTTGCGGCTTTGTCCCTTTCTTTCAACCCAATTTTTCGTTTGCTTTTTATACATAATTTACCCGTGTCGTTCATGTTTACATAATCGATTGGATAAAGTAGAATTTTGTGTAATTATTATTTACTGATAAAGGAAAAAAAACAAGAACACTTGCCCATTTTTTTTTTTTTTTTTTTTTCCTTTTTTACATACCAGTCCCGCTTGCGCTATTCGCACAAAACATCCCGCATACTTTTTCTCCACAACATGATTAATTTTTCTGCCCATTTTTGTGTTACATATTTATGTTTAATTTTTTTTCCTCCTCATTTAAAATTTAGCATAATGTGTAAAAAAAAAAAAAAAATGTATGTATATCAAGTGTACATATTTTTAAACTTTATTTTATTTACTCCGAAAGGAGGAATATTTTTCTCTGCCGCTTTTAATTAAATCTGACCTTTTTCCTCAACTGATGTTGTCTCAGGTTGGAGAAAGCCGCGTTCATGTTTTGTTCAGAACGTGGCTTTGGAAATTTGAAAAGCTCAGTACCGAAATGGAAGAGAGATGAAAAAAACATTCACCTCCATTTTTTTGCCTTCACACAAGTTCGTTACATCGAATTGCAATCGAAATGTTGCAGCTAGGTCCCCAGGTGTTCGAAGCGCCTTGACGTGAGTACGTAGCACGAATGTTTTCCCTTCAAAGGGGTACACATGTTTGTAAATTGTGTAGGCAGCAAGTGGGTGTTACCCCTTTTTGAAGGAACAAATATTAAGTGGAAATCAAAAATGAAAAAAAACAACAAGGTAAGCGTTTGTGAGGAAAAATATAATAGTAACATATATGTATAACCCGTGTGAGAGGCAAAGAAAAAGAATCAAAACAAACCAATAAAAAAAAAAAAAAAAAAAAAAAAGGAAAAAAATTATTAAGGGGAAAAAATATAACATAATAAATAGTGTAACATTTTTTTTTATGGAATTTATGTTTTTTTTTGTTGTTGCTTGATTTGGTAGCCATTTAAGCCTGCGTGAGTGTTGTCATGTTGTTCTTGTTCTTACAACGCTTTTTTTTTTTTTTTTT